AAAGAAACCAACTTTCAGGGTACTTCTGTCCTGCTGAAGAGCTGCTCTATTTAGCATAGTTTGGATTCGCAGGCATCAGCAGGTGACCTTTGGGCACATTTAATTCTATGTAATGTGCATCACAGATATTGCCTTCTTGGCAAATGCTGCCTTCCTTGGTACAGCTCTGCAATGAAGAGAAAATAAGCTTTTTGCATTGATTAGCAAGTTAAGAGAACATAGATTGAAAGCACTGTGTTAATCAAAATCTGGAAAAATAATGGTAAAGCATGACTGAAAGTAACTATTAATTTTGTAATAAAAATCCTTTTTCTGTGAGTTTAGAATAACTGTGTTTTGTATAAATGCAAACATCAAGAACTTACAGAGCTGACAGAGATTAGAGGTTTTCACAAAAGGCAGCAAGCCTGGACTTAATACAGTTTCCCAAAATGATAAACTCATGCAGTGGGGTGACTTAGGCATGTTTTAAGTCTTGCAACAGCTCTTTCTCTAAAATGTCTAAGAAAAGTGACTTTCCTAGTTGGAGTGAAGAGAGATGATAAATAACAGTGGACAGAAGAAGTAGTATCATGGAAGGAGAAAATCAGTGCAAGAAGAAAGCTGCATTCCTTTCATAACCAAACTCAAAACAAAAGCAGACAAACAGCATACAAATAAGAGGAAGCATAAAAAGAACCTGCCACATGAAGACAGGGAAAAAGCCAAGAAAGAAGAAAATAACTAAGGGACAACAGAAATAAGAAGGAAAATTTATAGGTGTCATTTAAGATGGAAATAAAACAAATACGCTGCTGTGATGCCAGGATGATTTTTTGCCTTTTATTTTATATACCTTTTAAATAAGTTTCACGAATTCTCAGTATTCTTATAAGCATATTTGTAATTCCTTAAGTCTGAAAACAGCATAGTCCTAGTATTTTTTTAGGTCAGGAGAACACCCTAAAGGCCTTGTAGTAGGAGGCCAAAAAACCCTACACTAGCTTGAGAAACCGAGGACCCCTCTAGAACATATTCTGTAAACTAGATATTTGGCCCATCCAGGAAGGTATTCCTTAGAAAAAGGAGTATCATGCCATTCATCCAGGCCTTCCATTGGGGCAGCTTTGTTAGATAAGCTAATTTGTAAGGTCTACAAATTGTACATGTGGTCTGTCATGTATGTGCTTTGCAGCACATCCCACCTTGGTGAAATGGAGCACCATAAAGATCCTTATTAAAACACTAAGATAAAAACCCCTTATTCCCTTAACCATGTCTGGCTTTCAATTTTTTCAGACCAGGAAGAGGCATTAGCTGGAATACTCTTGTTTGTTTTTCAAACTGGCAGGCTAGGATACAGGAAAAAAGACTAGGAAATATTACGACAAATTAAATGTATAGACATGAATGCTTGAGGAAAGTCACTGGGTACCATGGAGTCGGGGGTTATATCTCAAAAGACATATATGTAAACTTACATACAATGCATGTGTGCATGCACTTCTGTGATGGCAACACATTTCAGTGTTTTCTTTAAGATCTTGGGGGCTGGACTAGGTGACCCTTAAAGGTGCATTTTAGCCCAAATTATTCTATGATTGTAAGATCCTAGTATGTTGCTATAGAAAACAACAACAAAAAGTTAAAATTAGTTTGAATTGAAGTAACTTTGATGCATTGCAGAAATGGACTAAAATCAGTATTTCTTTAAAAATAAACACAACAAAGTGCTAAGTACTACATTTAATAAAAATGAAAACACATACAGATACATAAAAAGGGGGAAACAATTTTTTTGCAAATAGCACTGCCAAAAAGGAGTTGAGAATCATCAAATATCCAGGGAAGAATCAGAGTTGTAAAGTTGTTGCAAAACAAGTAAAGTTAATTGTGATTTGCATAAATAAGGCTGCCTAATTAGCACGTGAGAGGTTATTATCTTGGGGGGGATAGCATAAGGGATGGCATGAAAAGACCATGAACACAGTACTATTTTGTATGAGTATACAGAGGGTAATAGTTTTGTAAATCTGTAATTATAGATTCATGGAGCATTTGTTTATTCAGGAGCATTTGTTCCTGGTGGACACTTTGTGGGAGAGGATGACAAAGGTACAGGATGCAAAGAGAAATGGTAATCATGTGTCTGGGCTGCCTGGCCCATTGTGTCTGTGGAGGGACACACCTGGTACCTTTGGAGGTTGCTCCAATGAAAACACTACTCCTCAGCTAAAAACTGTGCTCAATGGAGTTGAATTCAGCAGCATTTAGAAAATGAATTTTCATAGAAAGTTTGCCTTTTAAGATATCATGGTCTTTAGACAGAGCAAAACTTTTGTATTACTTTACTTTATATTTATTTTCAAATTTATATTACCTAGATGCCAGCAAAATTTTAAAATCTTTTACCACTAAAACTTTTTAAAAGCATTAAAAGCAATACAGTATAAAAAAATGATGACGCATAGTCTGTTAAAGAAATTAGATTTGTGCCTTTAGTGTGGCAAAGTAGCCCCAGTTATGCCAATCCAAAAGTTCCAAAATTCCAATCCTAAGAATAGAAATTGATTAAATAGTGTTTTATTTGTTGGTCCCTGGTGCCCTAGTTTTCCCAGGTTTTCACATGAAAGTTAATACACACCACCTCATCCTGCAGTTTTACAGTATTAGTCCTACTTGTTCTGCAGTACACAATATCATCTCCAGCTTGCCCCTTGTGTTTTTTAGTAACACTCATTCCTCATATCGAGGATGATCTCTAGCAGTATGCATTGAAATGACAGATAACCACATCATATTTTCCTGCGGAAAACAGTTCCCTGTCAAGAATAACTGTTTTCATTTTGTAAATTGTAGCCCAAATTCCTTGATATATAACTCAGCTGGTATCCCTCCCCCTGTCCCTTTTCCCAATTCTGTGAGCTCATGCTGTTCTGTGAAATGGCAGCAACAGCTTAATCCTACTCCATGAAAAAAGAGGAAATGGCAACCCAGAAAAGATACAGATGTTAGGGCTGAAGATTTTTGTAATTTACTCTTCTTGTCAGGCTGATACGAAGATTTCACTTCAAAGAAAAAAAACAGATTATATGACCAAATCTTGAAGGTTTGTCCTCTTCACAATATAACCCAAATAAATGGGAAGCAAATGGACATTGCTGATGCTTGAAGACCAACCTAACTCCAACAAAGAGTCTGGATTCTTTTACTTTCTGACAATGCACAAATTCTACACAGTATATTTCTGTATATCCATAGAAATGACAACTTTGGGAAATAATACAAATTTTATACTTGTTGAAAAGTTGCTGACAGTTGAGAGGAATGTGAGAGGTTGGTTATCCAGAACCACTGAAAATAGCTTGTAAAGCTCATAATTCAGAGAGAAAAATTCTTTATTTTCCTGTTTGCTTTAAAGGGAGACACGTCATACTCCCATTTCATGAAGTGAAAAGCTGACTTTCCCTCAGACTCATCAGTGCTGCACCTCCTGGAAAGCAAAACTCTAATCTCAACTCCAGAATTAAGCATAAAAAACTTCTTTAATATGGATTTAGATGGAACATGAATATTCCTGTAAGAGAGGGATTTATCGGTACATTTCATGGTCCACCAGGTAATAGCGTATTAAGGATGCTAGCAAGAATAATTTTGTTGCACATTCTTTGAAAATTCGTCATAAAATCCAAATCAAACCAGCAACATCTTCAACATTTTCTCAGACCCACCTAGACCAGACAGCACAGGACAAGGTACCAGATGCTTACCCTTTTGTCTGGAGGATAATTACAGGCTTTCTTCTCCCACTGCACATACTCAGCTAAAATAAAAATTTCAGGAAATTGAGTACTCCCTATGGAACTGCACTGAGTCATGCATGTTTGCACATGACAGCAGAGGTCAGCTGAAGATCTTTTAAGTCCTTAGAGCTACACAGTGTGGACCTGGTGGATTCAAAAGCAAAATTTCATGTGACCCTTGAAATCCAAGGCTTGCTTTCATTCCAGAAGCATACTGCCAAGGCTTTCACTGTTGTATTTTGGGCTACAGCAAAATCCAAGGGACTGTGGATTCTAAAGCCAGCGTGCAGCTTCAGGCTGGATCGAAAAGCAGAAGGTTAAGCTGCCTTCTGAGACATAAGCAGATCTCCCACTATGGTTCTGTTCTTTCCTCTTAACCATCACATTAAACCTCACCATTGTTACACTTTCAGAAAGGGGTCCCACAGCCAAATGCCTTGGAGACTTTCAAATCCCCATCCCAAATGGTTCTTCTCAGCACCACATCACACTTTGCTTCTGCAACACAACTGATGGCTATTGCTGAAGGGGTCATTGGTACCACTTTGGGTTTAGGCTAAAGAAGGATATTTTCTCAAGGATTTTTTTTTTTTTTTAAACAGCTATGGAACTATTTGAGCAATTTTGGCATCATTCACCTGCATCTGTTGCACACATGGAAAGAAAATGTATGCGTAACCAAATCTGACATTCCAAACAAATTCAAATATTAAGTCTCTTTCTCAGTGCTGCTAAGATTAAACAAATAGGAGAGACCATGTCATACTTTTAAATACATTTCTTTTTACAAGAAGCAAACACAACCCCTTTCTTAGTGATTTCCTACTAGGAAGGGCAACAGTCAAGAAGTGCAAAACCCAGAATTTCCTTCACTTACCATGGTGTACAGCCAATCTTTCTCTAGAAATGGTTCAAAACTTTAAATAGTGAAATACACAAAAATGAAAACACCCATATGAAATCTCAAATGGTTCTCTGTGATTAAACTGCTGTTCACGTGAATAAGACACTACCTGCATTTAGACTCAAAAAGTATTTATTCTGCTGCACCCAAAAGGTCCAGCAGAATAAATGGCCTACTTTATTATTTCTAAAAGAAGTAAACAATTTAAGACTAGTAGAAAAACTGATAAGAAACCTGGTTCTTACATGATCTTTGGAGATTTTGCAAGCTGATAAAGAGTCGTATATATCACAAAAAGTAGGAAAAAAAGCACATTGGTAGACAATAAACATTTATTGATCTTTGGCTTTAGAAATTGTATTACTTTATGGATATGGGAAATACTATATAAAATAATGGAAAGGTTTTTTTAGTTCTTTACAGTGTACAAGTGCAAGGCATGCAGAGGACATGTACGGATGCTAAAATACTATAGGAACATTACTGCAGTAGACATTGTATGTCCAATATGGGTTAACGTTTTACAAAGGCAAGCAAGTTGAAGGAGCCACTTGATAAACAGCAGATATCACAGTTTCTCTTAGATTTGCTGTGGTATTACCATGAGCAACTAATAGACATAAATTTCATTTTAATAATGTGTGCATTATAAAAGTGGAGTTAAACTGTAACGTTTCAACAAAATGAGTAGGGAATAAGAAAGTATAACCTGCCTGAGTTTTGTGAAATTTACTGTTGTTAAAGAAATTTAGGCATTTAAATGACAAACCAATTCTTATAATTTTCATATTAATATAAAATGAGCAAGGCAAAACTAGCTTCTTAGATGCTCTACAGTAAAAAATGTAATGTAACTCCTTACAAATAGCGTAAGGAAATATCTAGCAAGCTTACTCTACCAGGTTTTCCCAAACAGTGTACCATATACAGTATGGATTCCTATAACCACTTGTTAGAGCTAAAAGTTCAACGTGCTGTGACAAGCCTTCCTCAGAAGAAGGCTTCCTTTGGTAGATTTGAATCAGCAACACCATCTCAATTTACAATCACTTCACATGCAGAATGTATAATTAACTCAGGAGCAGGGGCCTGTTGTTTCCTCACTTTTTTAACCTCCTTGCTGAACCAGTCATGTTCTACCTTCAGCTTCTGCATTCCTGAAGGTGGACAAGCAGCTTTAAAGTAAGGGTGATTTCACTATTGAATACTCTTAACAGAAATCTACAAAATTCTACAATGTGTAACTTTTGGAAGCTTGGTGTTGGTCAGCAGTATCACGATTGGTACTCTTTGTGCTCCAAATCCATAAGGATTCAGTGACCTTCAGTATTGTCTTTCTGAGCCCAAGCAGAACTACTTATTTGGCTGAAATCACCCATGTGCCTGGGGTATTAATTAACACCCAGGTGTCACTACAAAACTTTGTAAGTCAAACCATTCCAAATCTTGTAAACACTTGCCCTCAGTCATAAAGAAAACAATGCAGAGGTGGCAGGTGGCAGAGGCAGGGGTGTTAATTTAAATTAGCAGTGTTCAATTATCAGTCAGATATGCCCAAAATTGTTAGATTACCATTTAAGTAAGAGGCATGGAAAACATTTCTTCAAACTCTTACTTGTTTCCAGTATGTAATAGCACAAAACCACACATGGATATTACATAAGCCAAAAATTATATGAAAAAAATAATTTCATAGCAAACCCTATTTCAAGGGCTACCAGAATCACCCACAATTAGGCACTTTACAGTGTACAAAAAGAATATTACTGGAGGTTGTTTATTAGCTGTCATAGTAGTACCCAAGTATTATCCACACCACTAAAAAAAAACCCAAAACAACCAAAAAAACACCCCAAAGTGAGCTTTTTCAACCTGTGTTGTGCTCTTCTGATCACAGATCCTGATGAACATTTAAAAGTATAGGAGCCAATTTGTTTTTAAACAGCAGGTAATGCAACACCAGATCCATATAATGCAAACACCACTTGACACCATCCTCACTGTGAAGCATGACAGTCTTAGTACTTGTAAAGCTGTAACTATAAAAATCATATTTTAACAGTATTGTAGCAGTAAGAGGAAGCTAAAATTTACATATATAACACCAGAGTCTTTTCCATTTGGCAAATTCTGAAATGAAGGGAAGGGAACCTTTTTGTCTTAGGTCTTTATTCTACAGTAGAAAGTATTATGTGCTTTTTCACTTAAAGACAAAAATAAAAAAGACGATTCAGTGAGGAACAACACTGAATTTGTGTGTTCCCAGCAACAATGAGACAAGTAGAAGATTTAAAGTTAAATATTTACAACCTGAAAAATGTTCCCTGTGCAATTTGTAACATGTCTACCTTATGAGAAATTTTAGGCTGAAATTATTTAATAGCATCTCTGTATTAATATTTGCTCACATAAATGGGAAGACTGAAACATTAGACAGCTTTCTGTAACTTCTATTACAGAATTTTTTCCCATGTATATTCCTCCCAGAAAGCCTTACATACTGTTAACAATGGAGCAAAGGAATGACCAAAGATAGGAAAAATAAAAACTGTTGGTACATCATTACATGGGTATGAACTGTAGTTATGAAATACAATTTTTGGTGCCTTTTTCTTCGTCCTATGTTTTTATGAAAAATACTGTGAATATGTATTCTGGAAGCTTAGAACACATGCGGGAGGCAGAGGAAGAGAGAATAAGTCTGACTTTAAGCATAGGAATTTTAAGCCAGGTTTTAAAAAATATATTGCGGCACAATGAAAGAATAATTACTTCCTACTAAGGAGTTCGTAAAAAGCTATTCAATGTTCTTTTGAGATGTGTATTTTATAGATAGCAGAGTTATATGGATAGTATGTTGTTGAGAAAAAAATGCTGCAAGTACAAATTCTAAGGGCTCTTGACTGATGTGTAATTAAATGGAAAAATCTGGTATTTACAGGTGGATTTTGGACTTTGCTATAAAACTGCATACCTGTTAATACTTCAGCCTAAACACCAAGCTTTAAAAAAAATAGTGTAGAAGTTTCTGGCTTCTAGTTGCAGGCACTGATATTAATTTAAAAAAAAGGAAATATGATTCATAGTATTAGGATTAAAAATAATTTCCATTAAAAACATCACTGAAATCAAAAGTATAAAAATACATATACACTGGCATGCAAAACAACATCCAGTGCAATATTACCCTCCTGGCAGTCTACAGTGAGAGACTGGAAAAAGTTAAGTGCAGCATATACAGATGTCAGTAAAAGCAGCCTGGAAATGACATATTGGCTTAATCTCACCTAGAGGAGGAAGACCTTTCAGTCTAGTACTCTGGAGTGCAAATGAGACATGCCATCTACTTCACTGTGTGTGCTGCACAGGCCACAAAGCATGGCAGGTGTTCCTAAAGGAGTTGCCAAAAATCACTCTGAAGCAGAGACACCAATCTGCATCAGCCTGCATCAGACAGCTGGCTTCTAAGCATCTGTTGCCTAGATGCTCTTTAGAGCGAGGTCAAAATATTGCTCTTTATTTACCATTTGGGATTTGGGCTGCAGATGCTAAAAATAACAGTCTTACTCATAATTCACATTTAATATTTAAGATACAAGTAAGGTAACCTGCGGTTGCTGTCCTTCATTAAGATTTTGCTCTGGCATAACAGATTTCTCCAAGAGAACAGCAGTTTTCTTTGGCCTCATTCAATGTCTCCATTTTACATGGGCATTCAATTCTTTAACTAAAAGCATCTAGGAACTTTATAGTGAAAAAATTAACTGTGGGGTTAAGTCTGGGTGTGGAGGGGCTGTGTTGAACAAATTAATGTGCAAAATGTGCCATGAGAAAAACCATGAAGCATAGTATTTCAAAACTGATCAAAATTATCTCAGTGAAAAGCACAGCTATTTGAGAATAAAGACACATAAGGCCTTTTACCTTGGAGAACCTTGCACAGCTTTAAGATCAGATGTGTTCAATTTTCTATTTGATATATCCAAAATGCCTATTACCACCTAGGTGTAGTTACTCCAACAAAGTCCAGCACTTTGAATTATTCCCTGGAAGTTAGCTGACATTTCTGTACTTGCTAACCGCTACATAGGGTGAGGTTATGTTGCCTAAATATTGCGTTGATGTCTTAGTAGCATTTTTGTTCTTAAGACAAATTTGATTTTACAATCCAGGGAAGAACATATCTCTGTTTAAATACTTGCAGTACTTGTGATCGAAATGCGGAGAAGAACAACTGTAACAGAAATCAATTTTTTGTAAGTATCTTTTGTACAAGGATGTTCTCTTGTACAGAAGATACTTACAGAAAATTAATCTGTGGATTCTTTATGCAAGTGAATTCTGGAAGAGGGAAAGACTGTGCAGCTAACAAAATGTCAAAGTCTGGCATAACCTATAGCTTGAGAAGGAATTAAAAGAGGACAAGTGCAGCCTGAGAATGTCACCTACAAAGTGTAAGAATAGGCTTTCTATAATCTATTCTCCTGCTCTTAATCAACTTCTCTTAGCTCAGAAATAGCCCAAGTATTATGTTTGGACCTCCCTGAACTTGCTGGAAGACTGGGATTTCTCGCTGTCTTAACCCTTTGTCTAATGGGACCCACATAATAAATATGCAGATTTTGAACAAATGTTACAAAGTTTGTTCATGTTTCAGATGGAATTTTAAGTTATTTGAACTATTTAAAGGAACTAATCCTTCAAAAATAGATAAATTAAACAGAAGTCAAAATACAATCTTGAACTAACTTAGCCTACTTAGTTCTGAGAAGGGAAGACAGGGACAGTGCTATAGATCGGCAATGGAACTCGCATCACTAAGAGAGGAAGGGAGAATTGAATTTAAGAAGAAAGAAACAGACATGGATTCTTTGCCAAAGGAACATTTCCTTCTAAAATCTCTCAGAAACTAAGGGAGATCTCACTGTGGCCTTCCAGTTCTTAAAGGGGGCTTATAAAAAAGAGAATATTTGCGCAGGCAGGAAGTGATAGGACAAGGGGAAACACTTCTAAACTAGAAGAGGGGAGATTTACATTAGGTGTTGGATGAAGACTCTTGCCTGTGAAGGTGGTGAGGCACTAGATAAGGTTACCCAGAGAAGCTGTGGCTGCTCATCTCTGGAGGTGCTCAAGGCCATGTTTGATGGGGCTTGGAGCAACCTGGTCTGATGAAAAGTGGTCCATTCTAGATCCATTCCAACCCAAACCATTCTACAATTTTTTTTATTAAGTAGTGAGCAAAAAGCAAGAAAAAATGTTTAAGAAACCTGAGTAACACCTACCAACCTTTCAGTCATATTTTATTCCTTTTCCATTTCTGCAAGATGCTTTCCCCCCATCGCCAGGTGCTGATAAAGGTCTCCATGACACAAACAAAAAAACCATTTGCCAGCTGCTGTTTCAAAGGAACTTACTACAGAGGTGAGCAGATATTCCTTTGAACCTTACACAATATACATATAAGTCAGGACTATCAGGGTTGCTACTTTACTTTTAAAACACATTTTTGATTATATCACATACTTGTCAGAAGCACTGCTCACAACCTTAGCAATATACTCCCTCTGGTTTCACTGTCACCACATGTTTCAAAGGCTTTTATTAGCATATTTTAGTTTTTCATAAGCTTTCTGGACTTATGTCAGGATTAATGGATCCAAAGAAAGACCATCGCCCACTCACTGCTGACCAGAGGTCAGTCATTCAATTCTGCTGAACAATCGTCTGGAGAACAATGCAATAGCACAGTGGCTACAAGCACTGATCTTCATGTTTGTAATACCAGGTGCCTATTTTTCACTGTGATCACTGTGATGTCTGAACAGTAAGTCAGCATGAGCTCTTAGCAAAAGCTTTGTGAAGCTCAGCTACATGACCCTTATTACTTTTGCTGCATGCATTATTATATAACTACAGTTCACTTTTGCTTATAAGCTTTCAGACTGACTATGTCAACAAAAACTGTTGCTTAACATCATTTTCAAGTATTCTCAAGTATCCAAAATTTACTCCTTCAGATTTCAACACAAGGTTACATCTCCTGTATAGTAAGCTTCATCAGGCAATTTCACTATCAGAATCAAACTGGTTTGCATTGTTTTATTTTTCTGAACAAAAGATTGGCATTGAACACCTAACTCTAACCTAAAAGCTGGCCTTACTAATTCTATTAGTAATGATGTATTTTGTAGTAATAATATATCTTGAACTAATACAAAAGTGGGTCCAGTATTGTTGGACTTGTCATATTTTGTCATTCAATTATTCACCTGAAAAATACTTCCCAGGAATGCTTGACATTTGAAACTATGAGATCAAATATTATTCTTTAGGCCAATTCACAGTTAAGCCTTTGTCCCTATTAGTTACAAAAAGGTGGTCATGTAAAAAGAAAGCTTGCAGTCCCAGTCACACTGAAATACTGCAGTGAAACCAGCAGCGTCATGCAAGGTGTGCTCAGACATCCCAAACACATGCAGTAGGTACTAGGCTGGTGTACACAAATCTTTCCCCAATAAATGCAACTTAATAAATGAATAAATAACTTAAAAGGCTTTCAACACAGCAAGATAGTTTATCACCAACTTAAAATCTTGATTTTCGGAATTCATTGAGTTTGTTCTCCCATATGATAGGTTTGCTACATATTAAAAATTTAGTTAAGCTTTTCCATTTATAAATGCTTATCATATGCCAAAGCTGTACACAAATTCAAGAGAAAAAGAACAGTAACATAAAAAGAGCTAGTATTATCTAAAAAACCCACAGACCTCTGTGAAGTGTAATATTAACTGTTTAAAAAAGCTGCTGCATATAAATCCCCATTCCTGTTTTGCAAATACACAAAACAGCTGAAAAACTGTAAATAATTTTATGACTGGAATCTATCTATCCAGTTAAGCAAAACCTGTAAGTTAATACTTTGCTCTTTTTCTTGTTACACAGCAGTTTTATTACACATAAAATCTATTTCTGAAGCCAAGATATATTAATTACCATTATATGGTCATGTTAGCACAAATTAAAGTGGCAAAAGACGATGATTTGACAGAGCAGAAACTTTAAGATTAATAGGTTAAGTAGATCTTTTCTTCCAAGACAGTGTAAGTTCTTTAGTATAGCTAAGTACCTCTAAAGAAGAACAAAAACCAAATAGCCCTTTCAACGGAAAAAAAAAAAAAAAAAAAAAAAAGGAGAAAAAAAAGAAAGAAAGAAAAAAGGAAAAAATTAAAAGTTTCATTTCAAAAGGAAATCTGGAAATTACTAGATACACATACACCTCTCTCCCACGGAACTGTAAAATACATTCAGGAATTTAAAACAAAGATTCCATATTTCATACCTTCATATATATTATATATTTGATATATAATATATATGTACATTACACATATACATACACTATCAGTCAGCAGGATTAAACTGTTTTGTTTTGAAATGTTTGACTGGTGCCACTAATTATTTTCTATTCTTTTGTAAATTCAATGGAATTTATCTACTACCTCAAAAGAAGAAATTTAAAAGATCCAGACACAATGTGTGGATCAATAGTAGCACCAATACAGATGGCCATTACTTCAAAATGACTGCAGGGACTGAAATAATATATTTGTTCTAACTCTCTTCTTACTGCACAAGCACTTCTGCAAAATATGTAGGCAGCAATATCTGTCAGGTACACACATCTACTCTTGTTAAATTTATATTTTATACAACTTTCTTTACTGTAATATACAGTATCTCTTTTGTCCTGTTGGATTTTTTAATTTTCCAAGGAGAAAAGTGATCAATAGCTATCCAACAGAATTTTTTTTTAAATCCCCTTTCTCCTTTCACTTGTATGGCTCAGTTTCAAGACTTAATTGATAGGCAGCTACCATCACTATGTCCAGTACTTTTTGAATGCAGTTCAGTCAGTGACTGTTGGTGCTTAAAAAACAAATTTTTGAATTTGGCTTGCTGTTTATGGAAACCAAGATACTCAGAGGTCACAGCTTTTCAGCATGCTTACCACCATCTACAACACAATAATGTCAGTCAGTCCCAATACTATAACTGAATTAGTTACCTACCATTTGGGTAACAGAAATAACAAACCCAGCTGCAATTTTAAACATTTTAAGATTATTCACCCTGAGAACACCAAGGAAGTGTTTAAAAATAATTATGATATGTTTTCTCTTCACATATATAGTTTTCTTTTCTCTTCATCTCCTCTTGGGTACATGGGTTTGTATCTAGACTCTGACCTCACACTTGTTCTGTCAGTTGACTTGTTCATGCCACAGTCAGGTACTGGTGATAGAAGAGCCCAAAAAGGCTTGTAGAAAAAAGGCAAGCAGCAATCCACCAAGTGAGGAAAGACAGGAGTCCCCGGAACAGGAGAGGAGTGAAAATATTCTTTAGGCTTCCCAGAGCCATTGTTAATTGTACTACAGTTACTTTCATCTTTCCATCAGGAGGTGGAGACTCAGAATAAACAGAATTGGGAAGCAGACTGTTTTCTACTGGAGTGTCAGAATTCAATCCTGGGTAGATGCCCCAAGAATAATTACCTGTTAAAAATAAACAAGCAACAAATTATTGTAGAATTAAATTTGAGTTCTGTTAATTCAATCACTCTACAGTCTTTGATAGATTTTTAATACACACACACACAAAATGTTTTTATAACTTAGTAAATACAAACTATACTCATCTGCATGACTTCCTGGTCATACCAGTAAGCTACGGGGGTAGGATTCACCTTGTACTTTGACATCCTAACATACACAAGTGATACAGCTGCCTTGAGAGCTCTATATGTCCAGGGCATGATTCATCTTACCAGATGGAGATGTGTACTCCAAGGCAGGATTAATCACAACCTACTAAAGCCTATCTTTATCCATTGCCCTTTTGCAGAGATGATTCAACTGCATGGCAGGCTATGAACCACTTCTTTCACAAGAAAGAAAGAAGAAAAGAAGGAAAAAAGAAAGAAAAGAAAAAAAGAAAGAAAAGAAAAGAAAAAAAAAAAAAAAAAAAAAAAAAAAAGGAAAGGAAAGAAAAAGAAAGGAAAGGAAAGGAAAGGAAAGGAAAGGAAAGGAAAGGAAAGGAAAGGAAAGGAAAGGAAAGGAAAGGAAAGGAAAGGAAAGGAAAGGAAAGGAAAGGAAAGGAAAGGAAAGGAAAGGAAAGGAAAGGAAAGGAAAGGAAAGGAAAGGAAAGGAAAGGAAAGGAAAGGAAAGGAAAGGAAAGGAAAGGAAAGGAAAGGAAAGGAAAGGAAAGGAAAGGAAAGGAAAGGAAAGGAAAGGAAAGGAAAGGAAAGGAAAGGAAAGGAAAGGAAAGGAGAATAGGGAAGCGGAAAAGGGAAAGGGGAAAGGGAAAGGGAAAAGGGAAAGTGGAAAGAGAAAGTGGAAAGAGAAAGGGGAAAGGGAAAAGGGAAAAGGGAAAAGGGAAAGGGAAAGGGAAAGGAAAAGGAAAAGGAAAAAAAGGAAAAGGAAAAGGAAAAGGAAAAGGAAAAGGAAAAGGAAAAGAAAAGGAAAAAAAAAAAGAAAAAGAAAAGGAAAAAGAAAAGAAAAAGGAAAAGGAAAAGGAAAAGGAAAAGGAAAAGGAAAAGGAAAAGGAAAAGGAAAAGGAATGAAAGAGAAAAGAGAAAAGAAAGAAAGGAAAGAAAAGAAAGAAAAGAAACCCCAAACCAGAGCTACTTCAGATCTCCCAGTAACTACACAAACCCCCTACCTCCCAATTTCTATTCTAAAAGCCTACTAATGATAAAAAAGCTAAAAAAATTCATTTATGAGATGTGCAAGAAGTGAAATAAATCAATCATACTTTATACAGTTCACTTTTAAAATACTTCTAGAAAGAGAAATATTTCAACTGAAGTAAACATTTAATTGGTTGCATTACACAATTTCTCAGAAATAAATAAACAAATCAGCATGTAATTGGAAGATATCAAAAGCAGCAAGAGAAATAATTACTTAAAAGCCACATATGATTGTTCTGAAGTACAGGAAACTACAAAGTGGTTTTGTATTGTAAGTACCCATGAATTCTAATTCTCTTTAGTGAGGTGAAAATAAAAAAGCCCTGTGTAGAACAGAATAAAATACTGTTGATCTAATTTTGCCTACCTAGTGTTTTCAAGAGCAGAGTTGTATGAAGAAGCATCACCAATGGTGCAACATACTGCAGTGCAATTACACAGAGATAATAGAATACCCGAGCCACCTAGAAAAATGAAAGAGTATAAGTTCATCATTCCTGGTTGATCAAAGCAGACCTTTATGAATATGTCTAGAAAAAACAAATTATTAAAATACCCCAGTACTTACGCATTAGAGCTGTTTTAAGAACTTTCTAGTAACTCTTGGCATGTGACATATTGTCACATATTGTCACATATTGACATATGCCTTTTGAGGCATATTGTCCTCAAAAGACCTAAAGAAGAAATCCCCATAATGAATTCTAGTTTCAGGACATTTACAAATCTGTGAGAAAAGGCTGAAAGAAAATAATTAAAAGCATCAATTTTGTTTAAAAAAACAGAATCAAATTTGTTTCTGCAAACTGTATGTCATCATTCAATGACTCTTACTTTAATACACGAGAAACAAAAATAAATGTATATGTTTAATTTTTCAAGTCCACAGTTATTTACAAAATAAATCCTATTTCAAAAATGAAGTAGTACTTACAGTCCAAAGCCCCACAAAAAGTAAATGAAAGCTTGGTTAGTATTACAGTCCTTTTTCAAAAGTGAGATATTTTTAAGATTCCAACTGGAAAACACTAGTGTTTTAAAAACAATGATAAGCTGAGCTTTCATTAGATAAATAACAGCATTTAAATGGTCTTTATTTCAGTAATACACTATGGTTCATCAAAGTCCATTCAGATATATCCCTCCCCCTGCTCTCCCATAGGTTCCATTTTTCTCAAGATTGTAACATTACATATTCTTATAAGCTATTGACCTAAAAGATGAAACCAAATAAAGATGGCAAAAACCGATGAAATCAATAGCAAGCAAACCTACCCGTTTTATAAAAGAACAGAATGCAGGCTGGCAAAAATGATTAAGGTAGACATGACAGTTTTGGGAATACCTCTCAAGCCTCAAAGGGCTTCTTAATGAGCATGCATCAAAGAACTAACATGAGAAAGAAAAGTAGTAAGACATGGACAGAAGAAAAAGCATGAGACAAAAAAATTGTCAAAAAATTGATGAAATATGACAAAAATAACAAACTAAAAAGGAATGAACAATGTAGAATGACAGACAGGAAATAATTCACTGGCAGAAGTTCCTAAAAATGGCAAAGCAGATATGATTAGTAAAACAAGACAAGACAACATCTAGTGACAATGGCCTTCTCAAAGAGAATATATGAAGATAATAGAGAAATGGATATAAGAAATGCCACATGGAGAAGACATTAGTGTTTTACAGATAGGAATAAAATTAGTATAAAAATTGCACATTTACAGCAACTGGCACAGTACCATCCTAATCAGCTGCTACTACATGTATTTCCTAATTTATTTTCTGAAGCAAATTCCTAGCCACTTTGTTTGTAAATAAGTACTGCACAGCTCACTTATGACCTTCAGACACTTAGTGTAACTACACATAATAATGACAATCCTAGAAGAGCAGTCTTTGTCTCATGGCCTGCTTCAAATATTCCTCCTGCAACAGACCCCAGCTCAGCAGGATCATTAGACAGCACTATCATAAAACACTAGTAATTTAAGTTTATTTTGCAGACAACACACAACATTTGTTCAAGGTATGCTTTACTACTTTTCTTTAAAAAAAGAATCCTCAGAAATTTGGCCTTGTCCACAATATGATAGGCAATTTTTTAACTAGGCTGGTGCACTTCTAAGTGGTCTGATGGAATTAAACATCTGTCATTTTATTCCAAAATATAACCACCTCGTCATAAACTTTCCCTCAATTTAAAAATCATAGTTGGTAACAGTATATTATCTTTCTATCAAAATGCAATTTTTTCTTTTCCATGTTGTAGTTACAGATCACCACCCACTGGAATGGATCTTTTATAACAATTTCCAAATAACCAAGGACAAACTATCTGCATAACACAGATGATACATCTCTCTGTATTTTGGTTCACAGAATTTCTCTGTAATTATGCTATTTTTACAGGAAATATAGTCTAGAAACCTTCATTCAGATTTGAGCTCTGCTGCCACAGAAGAAAACTAATTGGAAAAAAATAATTTGCAAGTCAAAATACGACAAATACATAATCTCAATGCCACCATACTTACCATTTTTTGTAAATCAACCATACTTATTCTACCAGCTTCCTTTTTCATCTGATCCACACTTTTCTGGGCTAAATTCAGATAGGCCTGTAAATGATGACGCATCATAGCCAACCGTAAAACACACAACAGGATTATAATCCACAATCTGATGGTATCAAATGTATCTTCTGACATTCTGTGGATAATAAAAAAACAGTAATGCTGTTTTCCAAAGACCATTTACTGCTACAGTTATTTTTTTAGATCACCTATAAAGTAATCTTGAGGGAAATTGTCAAAAGTAGTTAACACACAAACTACAGTTATAAAGTTCACATGCAAGTAATATTTACTTTTGCCTTTTATTTCTCTTTCTTACTACTTCTCAGTAGCCCTACAGGATAGATGCAAATTAGTATTCATTTGTATCTAAACAAGAGCAGTTCTTAAACGCCTAAATTCTAACTAATGAAGGCAGGACAATAAAAACTAAGGTTGCTCTGATAATTACAGGTTTTCAGACACACAGGACTAGATAGTAAATAGTACTAGATTGTAAGTGGGTACTTCAGTTGCCTGAGATACCCAGTAATAGCTCCATCCTCATTTTAAGATGAACTGAGGTACAGAAGATATACAAAATATATATATCTGTTGTCTTCTATGTAATAGCTCAATGGTCACAGGATCACTTTAGAAGCTTATCTCACCTCTAAAAAGCAAGAAATGTATTAGCTCTTCATATCTGTTTCAAGTCTATTTTGAATTAGCAAGACTGTGACTATGACAATCAACTATACTTATACATTATTTCAGATACCACTCCTCCTGGAAACTCTTTCCCTTTTTATATTTTACCTACCAATTTAATACCACTTATCAGTATGCAAATATTAAGACAAACTTCCTAGTTTAGTTCTCATACCAACATATCTTGATTGTTTTCACTGAAACCACTTCTCTCCTACACCAACATGCAAGACACAAGGTTCCAGCAGGTAGTGAGGTGGTATTCCACCCCTACAAAAAACAATGCATTACTGCCATGGAGATGTCAAGAGACGGCAGTTTTTTGGGAACCACCACCTTAACACTCAATATTTTGCAACTCATTCTTTTGAAATAACAGAAGCTCCTTATAATTCAGCTGCACCTTCCACAATACCTCTGACAGAAGATGCTATTAAAGTCTTTCATGTTTCTTAAACTTTCAAAGAGCTCTAAGACAGTGTTTCATTTTCAATAACCCAGAAAGAACTTTTAAAGGAAATCTTACAAAGGAATGCTCTCTTTGCCCAAAGGTGGGCTCATAATGTAGTCCTTAGTGATTGGTTTTACCCAGAGTAGAACCATAAATAAAGGTGCCAAGAAGTTTATATGTAGCAATGTTCTGAAAAAAAGAAAAAAAAACAGGGAACTTAGTAAACAAAAGCAATGACCATAGTGTTGAAAGTATATACAGATTCAAAAGGAGAAATATTACTTTAAAATAGTTGGGAGAAAGATAAATAAGAAAATTTCTTCCCTATTTTATAGGTATGGCTTACATTTCAAGAAAACGGTAACACTATATATTGTGAAATCACACTGGATTTTGGCTTTAAAAATAACAGGAGAAATAGTTGTCAGAGGTCAGATGACACAGTTTAATTAATTTTATTTAGAAACCTTGATTAAATTAAACTTGGTACTTTTATTAAATTAAAGATACTCAGACAAAAAAAAATACTGTATCAAACTGCACAACAAAAATAAAAGTAGTACTCTTTAGTAATCTTTGAGTACAAAACAGCAGAATTTAAAAAGGGGATATAGTTTTTGGAGTTCTTCACTAATAGAATCAGGTTTGTCTCCACCTTCACTACAGTGCTTTTACACTACAGAAAAAATTATGTAATCAAGAATTGTTTGAAAGAACACAAGACTTTCTTGATTGCAAACTATCAAGCTTCCTAAAACCACTAAAATGTTTGCACATTACAGTAGCTGTCATCACACACAAATTTATATCTTTGGTTTCAGATGAAGAAATAAGCCCTGCTAGCTATTAAATGGTGTTAGGGAATGAACCTGCACCGAGGATCAGTCCAAAGCATTTAATTGGACTGTGACAGCCTTTTACCTGAGCTTCTACTTATTTAGGAGATCCTACTGAGTTAATGGACTGGAGTGATGGACTGGAATGTGCCAAAGCGTGGTGGGAATCTCTGTTTTGTTGTTGGTTTTTTTTTGTTTTGTTTTGTTTTGTTTTTTTTTTTTAATGAAACAGGCAGGAGGACCAAAATACTCTTGATGCAGGCTCTGGTAAAGGAGGAAATGTGTGTGAAAATTGTACAACTTTGCTAAGAAGACTTCAAATATATGCAGGAAAGGATAATACTGCCAAACAAAAAAAAGCGAATAATTTCTCAAAACCGAAAGGGCTGCCAGATGATTTTTATTGTTTACCCAAAACCAATGAACTTACTTTCTACACTCATGAAAGAATCACACTGATAATTTTGAACATATTCGTGAAGTGGTATTTGATAATTAACCTTTAAGTTTTGGGGCATTTTTTGGTCAGTGTTCCCTGCAAGTTAAGTGTTCCATTCCATTAAGGAATAGATTTTGTGTTGGGCTTTTTTGGGTTGTTTAGTTTTGGTTTTTTTGTTGGGTTTTAAGGGAGATTTGTGCCTTTTTTGGGCAGCTTAAGGGATGTGGAGGCTTTTGGTTTGATTACAGTTTTTTCCTTGTTTTTTGTTTAGCTGGTGGGCTTTTTCTTTGTAGCTTTTTTGGCTGGGGTTTTTTGAGTATGTATTTGACTGCAGAGATAGACATTGTTTTAGCACCCAACTTTCTATCAGTGACAAGTCATCTGCTTTTATAATCCCCCCTTTAGTCACTGTCAAACAAGTGTAGTCAATAACATTGACAAAAATGCACCAACAAGGACAAGTTACGTTCTTCAGGTTTATTAGAACCTATCACTTGACAAATATTCTTTATAATGGCTTTACCTAATTATATGGATACCATATCAAGTTTTAATCCATTTAATGCAATTTTCACATTGTTCCAGTTGAATAGTCAAAGTATTGGCAGACTTTCAAAAATAACTTGGTGGTGTTGAAAAAAGTTATCTTCAACAACCAGTTCCAATATTGTCTAAAGAAGCTAGAGAAGTTTTAATTTTCATAACCACACTTCAGTAGATATTAACTGCCCTTTACATCTTGATGAATGGATTTTTGTTTCAAAGAGTTTATATTTCTCCTTAGGAAGTCATGTCCATTGATCAAGGAAGATGCTGGAATACTTACAGAAAAGACAAAAAGAATTCAAAAATATTGAGAGCCATAGCAATTAAGAACTAAGTGTTTTATATGTCTGGAAAGAACAGATTAGGAAGTGACTCAGTCACACTCTACACAGACTTCTGAAACAGCAGATAAAACAATCCAGCAGCTGGCTGCTACATAGAAAATTACACTGAGTGCAAGTGTACTTGCTTAAAAATTTACCAAGACTGTTGGACTCACTTCAAACAGATTAATTTTTAAACTGAGCATTCCTGAAGGGAAAGAAAAAAAAAATGCAGTTTGAACGAAAATTATCTTCCTACTGGAAAACATAGTGGTTCTCTTAGGAAATTTACCAGACTGAGTACCTACACTGCCCTATACTGGAGAATCTGTCATTATCATGTATTAAACATCCACAGTCAAGACAGCTGAAAGCCGCTTGGAGTTTCACCATCTCAACCAGAGAATGCTCAAGAGAAATACTTAAATTGGACAGAACATTTTACTACCAAATGGAAAGATGGCTGAAAATTAAAATATTCCTTTAAATTGGTATTAACATATGACCCTAATTAAATATTCTGGGTAATTTTTTAACTTTATCCTATGCTAAATTTATTAAAGGAATAATGACCAGCTGTAAGTGCAGGTGCAAAAAAACCCCCAAAAAAGTCTATGGTCATATTTGTGCTTCCTGAAGGTTGTCTTAATTTCTGGAAAGACATGATGGGGGAAAGAAAGCTGGACACAGAGACATTCCTGGTGGACCTTTTGCAGGAGGAAAAGAAAGCTCCTTTAATTGGGACTCTTATTTACAAGGCAAAGAGTGTAACAGACTGGCAGAGCACAGGTTGAGCAGAAAGTGGCAGGTGGCAAATCTGCTCAAGATATGAAAAGCAGGCAGCAACAGAAGTCTTAAGTCACTACCTTCTTGTTGGAATAGTTTACTTAGTTTATTTTTAGACATAAAAGATTTAAGACTGAGTAGCATACACCTATTTGCATATATTTGTCTTACTGTGTTATTTTTTCTGTTGCTAAATTCAGAGCATCCAGATGCATTTGAGCCAGTCGCAAGCCAGGGAATGTCAAAAAAGCACCAATAAGTGAACACAGAACAGCCAGGAACAATTTGAAGGTTAGTTTAGACACAGGACCCCTAAAAGAAAAGAAAGGAAATAAGCATTTTCTTGGGGAGTAAGTTGGGGGAGCAGGGAGTACCAGAGAATACTTTCAACCCAACAGTATCTAATATTTAATAAAAGAAGCCAACAGTATTCTATAGGCTTCCTCCAAAATACTTAAAACCAATTAAAAACCAATCAGACATTAAAATTTTAAAAAATACTTTCAAAACCAAACAAAGTCATCTATTTATTTCATAGAAAAACAGAAAACCTAAATTACTGACTGTGAGATGTTAATTTGTTAGTAGAGAAGGAAAAAAAAGAATAATTTCATCTTGTAATTAGCAACAAATTATATAACAGAATATAGAATGAATTTAAGGATTGTGTTTTTAAGAGGAACAGATGTCTCATAAGTTTAACTGCTCAAAGACAAAATGAATACTTTATTCTACCATTATCCATTAAAAAATCTCTATCAAACTGTTATTTGTCATTTATCAGCTTTTCAAAGATTTATCTGAAATGTACATGTGGTCCAAGTGATTAGTATTGCACCTAAGAAAAGCTACAGGAAAAGTATCCCGCATCAAACAAATCACAGAATTAATTACATAATTAACAGATGCAGGTTTACACAAAAAAAAAAAAAAAGAGAACAAAACCAAGCCCTCAAACAAACAACAAAAATATCACAGTTACAGTGAAATGTAACTAACAGATCAAAGCAGAACAAAAACAAATCTAGTGATTCAAATGAGTTTCAGATTCTTTCTTAATCTATGTCACCTAAACTATCAAGAGACACCATCATTAACTCAGGTGCTGCTAAAAAAGGCAAAGCACTGCAATAGTTTATAACTAAACACTCAACATGAAAATGAATACAGAAGGTAGTGACTTTGCAATAGCTTAGAAAAGCAGATTAAAGAAAGGCTAAGAAACACATGGGATTCAGTTAATGGTTTCCCATGAGTTTATTCATAAATTACACAAATCTAGTTTGAGAAAACTTCTGTTCCTCAAAAATAAAGATATGCCATGGCTTCTGCACGATACTTGAGACCTACCAAGCAAGAAATTCAATGTTGTGCTCCCAGTGATTAAATGGTCCCTAAATTTCAGCATACATGTATAAGGAACTGTAACAAAAACCCATTTTGCAATATACATAGGCTGCCTATGACAGTGTTTGTGTATTTATGTAACATCACAAGCTATGGCATGCTTCTTCAACAGTCTATATGAGGCCTGGATGTCCTGTAGCAAGCAGATGTTTTTTGCATGATAGGAACACAGCTACAACCTGAAAACAGGACTGAACAACACAATTTATTCCCAATGCAAAATTTAACACAAACTCCATCTTGTAGCTTTTGCATGTTCATCCTCTTGCATGCCATAGGAATGACAAAAAAATACTTCTCTATTTAAGCAACCTTTGCTGAAGGGAAATACTGTGAAAAAAGTGTTTACAGTTTTGAACTACATTTTTTGAACTATAAAAAAAATTTCAGAAACTATCTCCATGTTAAAATGAAAACTTTAATGCAACTTCAGTTGCTTATGGCTACTTTCAGATCTTTTCATTAAACTCTTTAAACTGTTGTAGGAATTATAACCATGTACAAAAGCAAAACGCACAGGAAAAAGGCTTGCTAAGAAAATCTAAATGGTTCATAAATTCACATATAAACAGACAAGTTACAAACTCACATATAAGTAGACAAGCATATTTCCAGAAACTTACTGGGATTCCAAACCTTGTTTTTCAAGAAACTGCATAGCACTTTCTGAGAAATTCGAGAATCCTGCAGGGACACATATATTTATTTAATTACAGTACAAATGAAAAATTCCTTTTGTGAAATAAAATGCTCAATAACAAGTAATCTTTTAAAGCATTTTTCATATGTCTAGCAGAGTTCTTTTTTGTGCTAATTAGTTGGCCACAATACAGTAAAACTTGATTAACAACATCTGTAATATTTGGACACTTTGGGAAGATGAAAAAAGATAACTTTTAAAATTTTTTCCAGTAAGGGAGCTACACTTCACTATGAAAGTCAGAAAGGGCTAAGTCTGTAACTGGAAGGCAAATACAATTAACAAAACAAAAAAGCTACGCAAAAATTAGACTATTTAGGAGAACAGCAGGAAAATGTACAGGATATTATTCAGAATCTTCATTCCAAAGAAAATTTTCTTAGAAGGATATAACTTACACCATTCATTTAATCAGATTTTCTCAAAAACTCTGGAAATAATTTTTTCAGATCATGCAATCACTACAGCTGTTTCAAACACTAAAGAAAGGAGTTACCTGATTCCAATCCAAACTCTAGATAGTTTTCTGTCACAATGAGAATTGCCATTGCTTTCACAAAGAAGAAAAAACCAAAGGTGACACAGACTGATCTTTCACCTCCATCCTCAACTTTGAAATAGTGGGTAGTCAATGAAAACAGTACTTTACTACATAATAAAAAAGTCAAGGAAAATTAAGTTTGTAAAATAACTATAACTAAGAATTACAATCTTGTATTTTGTTCATCTACAGGGTTGTTCTGTGATGTGCATTTATTTCTTCTGAAGGTAGAATGTGTTCAGCCAATTTCAGGTTAAATTACAGAACACAGAGCATAATAATCACATAATGCATAGCCAGGAATACTCTGGAGTAGAATTATGATCTAGGCTTACTTATAGTAAGAAAGAAGACACATGAAAAGAGGAACTTGTATTTCTCTCCTTTCGGACAGAATAATTTCGTTCAGAAAATACTTTTAAGATCAAGTCCAATCATCAAACAAACACCAGCAAGTTCACCACTAAGCCATTTCCTCAAGCACTTCAACCATGCACACATTTGAGACTTTTAGCTCAAAGAGAGTTAAGACAACAGCACACTGAGTCCTGTCTAGGAAAGAAAAATCTATCCCATGTTCACCTCGGAAAAACAAAGACAGTCTTAAAACCCCTCCATGATCTCGTATAATATATCAAATCCTTTTATCTAGCCCCACTGCCACAAAGACAAAAATTTAAGACATCACTTGCTCTGTTATCAGGGTGTTTTAAAAATATTTATTAAGTATTCTTTTTTTACACATTTATAAATCAGTTCTAAAGTGGAACAGATTAGGATAAACTTTTCATGATACACAGTCAACTCTTATTACTATGAACTGCAGGTCACTATAATTTAAATGGTAGACAATATCCAGTCCAGATTTAAATGAAGTATTTGGAGATAACTCCACTTATTACCTGATTTGAGAAAAATATAGACGAAAAGGAAAAAAATATTTTAAGTGTAATCTGTACCACAAATGCAATAATGCAGCTGTATTTCCCTATTTCTAATATTGAAAAAATTTTATTATGCAGAATGCATGAAAAAAAATTTGGAGGTATCTATTCAGTAAAACATTTTAACAATCTCTCAAAAAATTATGCTTCCACAGGCAGCACACTTTTAACATATACACTTCTGAATTTCATATATATGCAGAGAGAGTCTAATATGCACAATGTGGTCTAAGGACAGCATCTAGTAATTCTAATCTCATATAGCAATCACTTTCAGACCCCTATATATTTTACAGAAAGAACTGATACATCGAAAGGAAGACTTAACTCATCTCAAAAAGTACATAATAGATCATACAGACTGTGTTCTGGACTTTGTTTCTCTAATAACACACGCTTAAGCCAAGGCTCTTTTTACAGCTAGGGACATTAATCACAAATTTAAAACATCCTGAAGTTATACAGAGGATTTAGTAAGTTTGTGATCAACAAACCTAATATAATCTATCATCAGATTTATGACTCCCTAGATACTTCATGACTTCAAATATAGATTGTGCCTGAAGGATTTGGAAAATTCAAGGAGGAAAAAGAAAGCACACTAACAATAAATTACAATTATAGTGCAGATTCAGAACTCAATAAATAGACCCATGATTATGCAAACTATACATAACAACACCCTCTGTTAGTTAAATAATCACCACTGCTTCTATTTTTGCATCAGAGAAGATTGAAGAATTACAACTTGCTTCATCACTTCCTTCCACTGCAAGACCTAATATTCAGGATCTACTGAAAGAATAATTTGGCAGTATTTAGTGCTAAGTTAAGAGAATGCCTGCTCCAGTCCCCCAGTTTCATTCATGTTTTTTTGGCCACAAGAGGCATTATACAATAGTATACTTTGCATATTGTATATAGTTGCAGGCATTGTAGAATTAATGGTATACCTTTTACAAAAATGATTTTATTTTTTAAACTGCTGCGATTATGGAATTCTTGAATTTTATAGTTCACACGTTGAAGCGAAAAAGATCCATCTTCTGTTCCTACTAAAACACATGAAAACTGTGAATTCACAGAAGCAGAGAACATTCTGAGTTGGATGGGACCCGTAAGATCATACAACTCCTGAGCCTCCACAGCACCATCCCCAAGAATCGTGCCATGTGCCTGACACCACTGTCCAAATGCTTCTTGAACTCTGTCAGGCTTGGTGCTGTAAGCACCTAGGAAGCCTGTTCCAGTGACCAACCACCCTCCATGTGAAAATTTTTTCCTAATATTCAATCTAAACCTCCCCTGACTTAACTTCAGGCAATTAATTCAAGTCCTGTCACTGGGCACCACAGAGAAGAGATCAGTGTCTGCCCCTCCTCCTCCCTCACAAGGAAGCTGTAGACTGCGATGAGGTCTCCCCTCAGTCTCCTCTTCTCCAAGCTGAACAGACCAAGCTGAACCTCAGCCACTCCTCTTACAGCTTCCCCTCCTTCATCATCCTTGTGGTTTATTTAGACACTCTCGAATAGCGGAATGTCTCAGTGCAGAACAATACCGTGCCTTACCTGGCTGGCCATGCTGGGTCAGTTTGCCATCCTGGCTGCCAGGGCACTGCTGGCTCATACTCAACTTTCTGTCAACCAGCAGCACCAGGTCCTTTTCCAGGGCACTACTTCCTATACTCCTGTTCCCTGGCCTGCCCATACAGCCAGGGTTGCCCCATCCCAGGTGCAGAATCCAGCACTTTCTCTTGTTGAACTTAGAATAGTTGGTGATTGCCCATATCTCTTTGGGTTTGAATTGGCTGAGGTTGCTCTGCAGGGCCATCCTGCCTTCAAGGGAGTCAACAGCTCCTCCCAGTTTTCATAATCTGTAAACTTGCTTGGTATCCTTAGTACAACTTTTCACCTCTCAACACACTAGCATGAAACAGAAGAAACACTTGTCAACAAAACACAAAATTGCTCTATATTTAACTTCAACATATCATGTTGACTGCTTTGTGTCAAAAATATGTAGGCAACCAAATTCTTCTGAATCTTCCATCATCATAGAATTATTTCTCGTCTTGACATATTGAGTTAGTGAGTAGCCGAGTAAATTTTAAGTATTCTCTGCATCCCAAAAGCCTGATGTCACAACACAGGAATGAACCTCTTCTGAAATCTCATCTAACTAGGTTCCAGTGACCACAGGAATTGTTACCAATACCCTCTGTATTGTACCTCCTTCACACAAAAAGCTGTAATGCCTTGAATAAGTTACGTTTCCATAATTATGGAGATGTTAAGGCTAATATAAGGTTTACACCGTGCTTCCTGGTACTGCATCCTTCTACACTGCTACTAACTCCTCATACAGGTATTAAGCACAGACTAACAGCTAATTGAACATTCACACTACTGAAACAAAAATCTTGAACTTACAGGCAACTTAAATATTTTTGAGTATTTGGTCATTTGAATGGATGACCAGATGAAAGCAGTGATAGAACAGTGTACAAAACCATGGTAAGAAAGTGTTACTGCAGTGGATTTTCCCACAATATATAATTCACAACCCTGTTTCACCTAGAATTATAATAACTATAGTGTTGTTTAAGTTGGCTACTACTGAGATACAAGAGATGAAGCAAACAGGGCATTGTAACCAATAAATCTAAGACTACATTGTGGCTTTTGTATAAGAAGATTTTTTTTCCATTACTTCTATTAAATTCCCCCTCATCCTTCAAAATTGAAGGGAAAGGTGTTGGCTTCTGATTTTTGAAACAGTAGCCACCTCTTTCTCCTTCCTTCTGCAAAGACTAAACTAAAATTCCCAACCTCAAACCAAAAAAACGAAACAAAAGAATTATGTATTACCTATACTATAGCTATAATACAATTAAACGGCACCTAAGAGCCAGACACTGATTTTCTTCTCACAGTAGACGAGAAAAACTACCTTTTGGATCATGGATCTGTTCACTGACATGTCTAAGGGGAAATACCTAATCTGGAAGCATGCTACTGACAGTCTTTTTTCCAAATGTGAGTTGACTTTCCTCTTCTAGCAAGTTTTTATACATTACAAGGAAAACATTCTGGGGAAATTCTATGATTTATGATTCAGTCTACTTAGAAAAGGCAGCACACATTTTGATAATTGTGTGGAGGACAAGGACAGGCAAGCATGATGCATATTCAGAACTCTTAGCCAAATGTAACCAAATATTAGAGTTCAAAGTTTTACATAACACCACCAGCTACTGCTTATAGTACAAACCAGCTGAACAAACTACAACACATTAAAAATCTCTAAAGCTAGCATTTATATAGAGGAAGCAATTTTGCATATTCAAGAGTAACTTAGCACTTTATCTGCTCTCAGCTGCTGAAGGAGCAAAAGAGCTATAGCAATTCACTTTCCAGTTCACGTATCTATAATCTGCTCTCTTAAAAGCCCTTATTCCATTCCACTGCTTTATCTCCAATCATATCTTTAAACTGCAACTTTCTTCCCTAAAGAGTGTGTCTGGAGTCATATGTGGTTAATTACCATGCAAGCATCTATATCTGATACTGCCTTATCCAGTAAAAAAAATTAAAAAAAATAACTGCCTTCTCCATAACAAAACAAACATTTTATGGTTTGATAATGCCTGTTTCCCAAATACTCCACTTCTGTTTCCCTCAGTTTCAGAGGTGAGTTTAGCTTTTCACAGAGCTCAGTTCCTATAACTGTCAACATACCTTATTTTCTGTAAGAATGCCTTGAATGTATTTTAAAATTATGAATTCACTCAAGTATTTTTACAATAAACTAGTATACATATCACTGTGCTATTCTGAGGAAGCATCAGATTAAACATATTGAAAAAAAAAGGACACTAAATTTCCAAACCTTTTCAAAAACTGTACTTTTTGTACACGTAACTATTTCTGATTGCCAGTCTGAGCAAAATCAAGCTAGTTTATAACCATTACATACTACAGATAAGCACTACTATATTTGCATACTTATATTTTTCTCCTAAATTGTCTGGTATTAATATTAGCAAGCTAATGATACCAGCATTTGCTGGTATAGAGCATGTATAGCATATACATTATTCAACAATGGCATTAGCTTACAGGATCCTTTTTCCAAATGCCAAATATTTTTGTATCCCACCCATCAGTGGCATGAAGATTTATACGAATTGCAGAATGATGTAAACTATTTGAAACAGATAGTGGGGGATTCAACAAAACAGAAAAGGATACACTGCAAAAGCCAAGACAAGCAGACACCATACTATGCTGATATTCATTTCTTGTGAGGGCTTCATAATGCAGTAATAGGCTTCTGTCACCACATACACAACTGTAGCTGCAACAGTGAAATCCACCAACCACTGATATTCTGGAAAGTAATGCAATGCTGAAAAATATAAGTTTGTAAATGTTAGATGTATGTTTTAAGACAGCTACTAATATATATAGAATGGAGCAGCAAGTAAAAGAGGTTTTCAATTATGTGTTAAGCATATTAAAGTGAAATTTAGGTAGACCAAGATCAACCAAGTGAAATCCAACAATGAAAAAATTACTCAACAACGTGAACTTCATTCTTTACTTTTGTTATCCAATACTTAATAACTACTCAAATTTATAAGGCTATGACGTTTTACTATTTCATCACCTCAGCTTTTATACATTAACATCCTAAATCCAAAAAGCATACTTAATTTAGATTTCACAACACAGGGAGTAAACAGTTTTCCAGTTGAGTCTGGCTGCAATTCCAGGTAAGAGGGTTTGTTTTGACCCTTTGTTAAAGATTGAGATCTCACTGGCTATCATTTGTGTATTACAAATAAACAGTTCTTTTTATTTTACAAGCCCCACCATCTAAGCTACTGATGGTTTGCTCATCGAGATTTTGTTACTACATCCTATAAAGCATTAATCATTGTGTAAACGTCACTGTAAAAATTCTGGTGATCATACTGTGTTGTATACAGGCTGGATGTTATGGAGAGAGTTCCCATAGGCATTGGAAACTGCAAAGAACCATTTGTGAGAACACAAATTGTCTCCCTCAAACATCTTCCCTATATGTACACAATCTGAAAAGTGAGAAAACATTACTGAACATAATTGACTTGACTACAGCTACCTGTTGGCAAAGATATAAAATTGGGCAAACTTAAGTATTTCCAAGTCCTACACTTAAAGTAACAATCTGGTTAGATTTACAAACAAATTGTATATATTACTTTTCAAATACAGTCAAACCCTATATCACTCAGGTAGACAATTACATGACATAATTTCAAGAAAATAATACTAATTGAAACTTGTGACTGCTTTGTTTATTTACTTCAAAAACTTCATTTCTGTTACACAAATGCTGTCTCCTAGAATTTAAGCTGAGAAGTCTCCTCCATAGGAATATACATCCTTTCTTTCTATATGTATCCACAGTACACATAAATATAGAAATATAGGTAGAAAGAAAATACATATCATGTACATACTCATATATGACCTTTCTGTCACAGAATGACTGATTATGATTTAATAATAAAAAATTACCATCTAAAAAATAATAGTACCCTCCAAAACACTTAATTCTGCATATTCTGTACTGTCACATGCCATTTTTAAGCATTTTACCTGAATGCTTGAGATGTATGGCTGAAAGGGCTTAGGTTCCAATGCTAAAGCAAATACCCTATTTTAGATGAGCAGAAAGTATGACTTGACATCTGCCAATTGTTATTTTCTTGTACGAAGCTAGAAACTCCATTTTGAATAGACAATGATGTAATTCTTTCAGTGCTGTCTCATATTGCTAAGGATGCCTGATACAATAGCTGTGCTTTATGCTGGATTTCCTCTACTCATCCTTTTCCACAACACAGCTATGAAATGCCACTCAGAACACGAAAAGAGACTTAGCCCTACTACCTGCTTTCTCATTAACGACCAGTTTTGCTTCTATTAATTCATTGTCTACAAAAAAGATATTTCAGCATTAATTACAAACTAACTCTTGATAGAAATAATCAGGATATATTGGAAATAATGTATTATTGTTTGTATACTCTTACCAATAGTGTCCCTTTCTGTTACAGATTTTGTTTCCAGATGAAGATCAATATCTTTTGGAATGGTTAAGGGTTTGTTTTCAATATGACCATTATATTTTCTGTAAAATAAATAAATAAATAGTACAAGCATGGGTATGACAAAATAATTTTTTTTCAATACAGAATGACATTTCAAATTTATAAAAATGCAGATTTTTTTCAAAAATACAAATATTTCTATGTCTCTAAAAGCAGTACTTAAAGTTCAAATCTTTGAAAACAACCAGGTATGTCAATGGCTCCTAGCTATAACTTGACACACTCTGACATACTACTGTGGTATGGATTTAAATGGCTTTCAGATGCTTCAATGTGAGCATGTATTGGGTCAAGATCCAGGGGACAGTATTTATTTCAGCCCACTGATTTTCTCTATTTAGAGCTACAGGGTGTTCCCAAGATAAAAAAAAAAAAAAAAAACAAAACAAAAACAAAAAAACCCAAAACAAACAAAAAAACCAACAACAAAAAAAAACTTCCATTAGTCCTTGTCACAACAAACAGGTATATCACATGAGCTAAACTAACCTAGACCCTTGAAAGGTCTAACCTACTAGCCATCAAGTGAAGGAAGTTTAAGGTGTCTTTCTATGCTAAAAAGATGTGTATCTAGAACAAAAGGTGCTTTTTATCTGGAGCTCTCAAACTATACCAATATCATGATTTTCACTTCCCTGAAATTAAGTCACACTAGAAGACTTCAAATTAAAAAACCCAGCACACTCTTAAAAGAACATGAACAAAGTTAAAGTATTTGGTCTGGTAGACCAGCATTAGTAACTAATGTAAAAATTTCTTCTCACACTATTAAAAAAAAAGTCATTAAAGGAAATCAGAAAATGTTTTGTTAGATTAAAAAATCATACCCAAAACTTAAAACCTCTAAAAGGCTATACAAAAACAATAAACAGCCACATTTTAGAATACCACCTCTGAAATTAGAAAAGGAGAGGTAGATTTTCCATAGGAAAACAAATTATTGTGATATAAGCATTAAAAATAAATCAAATCAATCATGGAACTTAATTTTCAGGAATGCTTTCATCTTAGCTCATATGTGAGAAGAAAATACACGCAGAGAGCAATAAAATTTTTTGTGTTTTATTAATGCTTTGCAGAACCAGAAGTACAAGAATTTTAATGGAAAAACTATAGGTAGAAATCTAAAGCATTAGTCAAAAAATTCAGTTGTGTGAATATATACAAGAAGTCCCAAACACTGCCCAAGGACTAGACTACCTGCAAGCTCCTGTGTACCTCCATGCCCACAGCTGTACTCTTGATTATTTTCCTACTGCCTGTATCCAGGAGTACTACCATCTTGAGTGAGATGAGCATTTTTACCACTGAAGCCATTTCAGATCAACAAAACTTGGTGTTCCTACACTTTAATTATCCTAGGCAATCCAAGAGGCACAGATGGAACATTCACAGGACCATTGAATGCTGTAGTTCAAAGTAATTCAAAGTAGCTATGGACCTTTTCATTAGCCTAACAATTTCATATAATACAACCTATGCAGAAGCAGGAAACCTGACTAATATTCCTGTGCTCCTAAAGCCTACAGTATAATACACTGAAGGGTAACATGCACTGAATGAAGTTAACTAAAATTTCACACTACAGCTATTTCTAAGGCAAATTTTCAAGCAAGCTCCTTGTATCTCCTTTAATCATTTCTCTTTAAATTAGTTAAGGAGCAAGTATTACACTTTGCAAGACTATGCAGACTTTGCAAGACAAAGCAGATTCTTTATCTTGCAAAATATTCTTTATCATGGGGAGTATCAAACAGATGCATCCTTATTTCTCTCACACTATCTTTTTCATATCTCCTTGTTGGGATGAGTCAGAAGATGTACATTCCATTTTGTGCATCCTAAATCAGTAAATCCAAACCAACTCAACAGGAACAATTCACACTTAACTATGGTTCTTCACAAACCAGAGTCACTTCTTTCAAGGACAGAGAGGTACATTCATTCATTAAAAAGTGATTTATTAATAATTCAGCTGATAAACAAGCACAGCAAACATAATTTAATCCTCCACATTACTGCTTTAGTTTCTTTGAAGTTTTATATTCCCTTTTGATTAACATTCACCCTGGTACTATCACTACTACTACTATTGCAAAGGACTGGCAAGGCTGAGGAAAAGCAGTAAGAGCAAAGGCACAATTATTACGTGGCAGTGTAATTGTGGTTTTCAGTTTAAGGCTCCTATGGGTGAACTTAAACTTATAATTATATAATTGAAGTTATTTCACATATGAATAAATATCACTGGTTACATGGATAATTATAAATTATGCTCTTATTCACAATTATTTTGCCTCATTTTTGTCACAGAAAACTGTTAAGATAAAAAGAGATTCTTAATTTTAAGGAATGCTGCAAAAAAAAAAAAAAATTACTGTTTTACAAGGAACATCTTAATCCAGAAAACAATGGTACATGATGTTGCATCCAATCGGCAGCTGGTCACTAATAGTGTTCCACAAGGCTCAGTACTGAGCCCTGTCCTGTTCAAGATCTTTATAGATCATTCAGACAAGGGGATAGAGGGCACCCTCAGTAAATTTCCAAAACTAAGTTGGATGGGAATGTTGATCTCCTGAAGGGCAGGAAGACTCTGGGGAGGGATATGAATAGGTTGAATCAATGGGCTGACACCAATGGCATGAAGGTCAACAAGTCCAAGGCCTACAAGTCCAAATGTAGGACTCAAGTGGGTCCTACACTTGAGTCACAACACCCTTATGCCATACTACAGAGCGGGGCAAAGTCACTGAGAACTGCCCAGCAGAAGAGGGTCTGGGGCTGCTGGTCAACAGCGACTGAACATAAGCCAGCACAGGCCTAGAGGGCCAAGAAGACAAAGGACATCCTGGCTTGTGTCAGACATACTGTGGACAGCAGGACCAGGGCTGTGACTGTACTCTGTAGTCAGCTTTGCTGAGGCCACACCTACAGTTCTGTGTTCAGTTTTGGGCCCTTCACAACCAGAAAGACATTGAGGTGCTCAAGCAAGTCCATGGCCATGGAACTAGGGAAGGGTCTGGAGTACAAATTAGATGAGGAGAAGCTGAAGGAGCTGGGCGCACTCAGCCTGGAGGAAAGGAGGCTCACAGGGAACCTTCTTGTTCTCTACAACTGCCTGAGGGAAGGTGATAACAGAGGGGGATGGGCTCTTCTCAAAGTTAACTACTAACAGGGTAAGAGGACCTAGCTTCCAGCTGCGCCAGGGGAGCCTTCAGGATGGACCTCAAGAGGAATTTTGTCATGAAATTGGAATGGGATGCCCTTCTTGGGCAGTATGTGGTGGAGTCATCATCCCTGGAGGTTTTCAAGAAATGACACGATATGGCCCTTACGGCCACAACTGATATGTGATCAAAGGTTGATCTCAGAGGTCTTTTCCAACCTAAGTGAGGCTAACCATGATTGCTAACCATGCCGCTTAGGAGCTAAGAAACTTTTAAGAACAAAAATTAAATTACAATTAACAAATTATATGAGCAGTGCAGAGATTAATTCAAATCTTAAGATTTATAAAAGAGTTCATACTGGGATGAAAGAAACAGAACTAGAATAATCCTCCTGTGCTGCCAAAAATAAAACCAGAGTGGGTAGTCTGGTTCTAAACAAAGCCAGTTTAAACATATTTCATCAACACGGCCAGCTCCACCACCTCAAGATGTCTCAGTTCTTGATATAGCTGTACTTCTGGTATGGCTGTTTAGAACTTCATGTCTGAGTACCGGAAATCAATTTCCAGCTTAAGCTGCTGAACAACTATTCCATGCCCTCAGTTGTCTTTTGATAGATTCAGCAAGCCCAGCTCTTTTAGCCCCCTTGAGTAAGATAGACTTTGTTTCCTGGATGATCATAGCAGTTCTCTTCACCTGTTCACATATAAAATTAATTTTTCTTGAACACAAGTGATCAGAACTGTACATAGTAATCCAGATAAAGTTCTACATTGGTGTTTTGTCCAAGAGAATTAGTATTTCCATCTCTCTTCACAGTAAACATTTCATATAATACATCCTAGGAGCCCATTTACCTTTTTCACAGCTGCGTTAAGAGCAGTGGCTTATAGTAATCCTATGTTGAACTAATATACCCAAATCTTTCTTCTCTCACTTCAAGATGAAAAGCTACAATCCTAAGATTTGTTTCCATAGTTTTTATCTAAATGCATACATTCACTAAAAAGCTTGCCATCAAATTAGCATTTCACAGACCGTTTTGTGGATGGAAATTAACCAGTTCTGCACAATTTGGGAATGCCCAGCTGTTAAACCAAAAAAACATATTTTGATGAAGAACTGTGACAACTAATGGAAGCAGGGCAGTCATTTGAAACTAGCAGTTTTTAATTCATGCTAAGACAAAAGTAGGCTGGAAAAGTTATTAGATGAACCATATCATGCTGAAGAAAACCCAAAAGGTGGGGGAAGACAAGCTTAAAACAAGTATTTACCTATCTTTTTTACTTTTCCCTCTTTGCTTCCCTGCAAGAATCCGCAGTTCTTCTTCAGTGGGATGTTGATACCACCGTAAGCTAAAGAAAAAGAAAATCTCAAGTAAAACAAAACCATTATTAGCAATTTAGAGCATGGCTTTCAAAAAATTGTGCCACAACACAAGATTAATATACTTATTAAGTTACCCGTCATTTGTCACTCCTAAGCAAGAGACCTTTATGTGCCAATAATGGCACACAAAAAACCTGTCTGAACTGAACAACAGCTAGTTCTCTACAGCATATTAGGCATTTATAAATAATTTAAAAGCTTTGCTACTTTGTCATTCACATGAAAGCCCTTCAGTTCTCTAAACACCAACTTTTAAAGATATCATCAAATACAGCAAACACAGCCATATAAGGTGCAAAAGTTCACTAGAATAATTATACCATTACAATTACTCATTAGAACCATATTCTAAACAACTTAATAAAGTATATTATATCCCCACCAAACCCAGTAATTTTTCCAGAACCTGAAATATCTATTATCTAATAATCATTACCAATGTTTTCTCTTAAGCAGAGCAAATCATAACATCAACATCTCTTTCCTTAAACACCTTCTCAGTGATATCTTCAACTTCTACTAAAAAAGTGCTATTTAAAAAAATCACTAATTTACACATAGTTGACCTATAAGTTTTTCCACTTTAACAGATCAATGCAGCATTCATTGCTCATTCATTTAAAAGGTAAGAAATGGCACAGAAATTTTAAAGAGGACAAACAGAGACGGTTAAGTGTCTAACATAATATATTTTACCTAAATTTCTAAGTAATGCAAAACCCTTAGTAGCTGAAACAAGCCTTTTCCACATTCAACATGGGAAGGTTACTGTCCAGATACGGGAAGTCACAATGATCTCCACATGTCACTATGATCTCCACTCTGAAATGCTGTGTTAAAGGAGACCAAGTATTAACAAGGATAGACTTGAGAAATGTGTGTGGAAGTACTAGGCCACTAACTGTCACCCATGGTGACACGGGTCAACATATAACAAAGGAATCCACAACAACCACCTCACATAAAGAAAATTTCACCAAGTAGGACCATCCACATCCATGTTGGTGAATTAGAGACAATGCCAGATCCAATTTCACAAAGTTAGCAAAGGCAAATTTGGAAGGCATCAAAACTCAAACAATCTCAAGCCATTTAATAACACTTGATTCCCAGCTTTGTTTTAGAAAGGCTTCCTTCATCTTGGGAACTCTTCAAGAGAAAAGAACACTAGTACCAGCCAACAGTACATCAAACTATTGCCCACTGCAAATTTCCATTGAAGGAATTCACTGCCAGCTCCAAAACTGAAAATGGCAAATATTACAAATTTTGAATGAACATAGTGTTGGATGGGGAAAAAAGGAACTGAATTTTGTATAAGAGTGAAAGTTACTTCATTAATTTACTTTTATTATGTGTAGTACAGTTGAGGAATCTGTTATTTGCAAACTTTCCTGCAATAGAGACTTTAAGACTGAGACACAAACAAACCAGAGAAAAAAGCTTCTCATCCAAAAAGTTAAACTTCTCTGCAGATGTTAACTTCTATCCTTCACATGACCCAAAGCAACTGTGAAAAAGCAGAGATAGAGTCTCCTTTTTTGTCATTTACCACATCACCCTGATCTGCACGTGGTATGATAATGATGAAAGCCACCTATGAGGCAATGAAATTTTTCAGAATCTTTCCTGCACAGACAGAGAAATGGTACCTAATGCAGCAGAACAGACAAAATTCTTGCTCATGTAGCAAGCTAACACAAATCAAGCCACAAATAATACCACAATCTGCCAAATATTTCAATAAAGCTATTTAGTTGCATTCAAGCTTTGAAAATAGCACTGACTAAAAAAGTTCGTATTTCTTAACAAATTTATGTAAATTGTTTTTCAAGAGTCAATGATAGCTATTTATTCCACTAACAAGTAACTACCTGAAGTCTGTCTGTCCTAACAATTCCAATTCTTTTAGACTTTGAGAAGTCTTTGTTTCCTTTTAATGGACTTCCCATTAACACATACAGCCATCTTTAAACAAACTAGTCACTTAATGCTTCTGTTTGTCTGACAACATGTTTACTCTCCCTCCCATTTAGCAAGGACTATCTACAGACATTTCAGACCCATCTTGCCTGCCAATCCTTTGGAAGCAGGATATGCAAACAAAGTCACTTAAAAACCACTGTTGGATACCAAAGACTAGTTGACATTTACTAACAAAGGTAATAAGGAGCAGGTGGTAATTTTTCCTCAGACAGTTGGACTGCTTCAGGAGTGTGCCTGTACCTGCACACTTATGTATATAACCCTCTGTTACCACCGACACAGGTCTGTCAAATATCACTGGCAAAATGACAGCACTATGGAGAAATAGGTTAAAGATAAAAGATAGTTTATCACGTTAACTAAGAAAATAACTCCTTTTCTTTCTGCCATTAAAATTCAGATTCTTGTTGCAGTGAATCTTCTGACTTATTTTTATTTCTAGAACACAGGATTATTCCTAACTATTTATACAATTCCTGTATTCAGGGAATTATGCAGACTGCCTGAAATTACAATGCACTAAAATAGCTACCAGATAAATAGGAGAAAACTGAAAAGTAGTAACAGGCTACTAACATGGAAGGCAATAATAAAATTCCCACTGACTTCAGTAAGAGCATAATTACCTAAGCCCAAGCGCTGAAATCCTGCTTGAAGTATTTATCAATCTGCAGGTGCACAAAGATAAATGGAGAACTGGATTTGAAAAATATTTGAACAGCAAACTTCTCCCTATCACTGGCACATGGCATGCCTTAAAACAAGGATACAGTGAGTGAAAACTTCACAAGAATGAGGAACAGGGGCATTATAGTGACAAATTATTTTGCAAGAGCAATTAGATATTTAAATTTTCAAGTAACAGTTTTCGTCAACCTTAGACATAAAAGGTACAATATGCAAGTTGGATTATTGCAGATAAAAAAGACTCTCATAGCAACACACCTTGGAAATAAATGGTAGGCAGTTTCATATTCACTAGTGTCACGTTATTTTTAGATCACAAGAAAGGCGATCGACACCCTGTCAATGTGCTTAACAGTGAAACTTCACACAACAATTAAGAGGATGATTCCTGTTTGTGTTATCCACCTGACAATTACTGTTTTCTGTTATATCTAACTTACATCTAAGCAACATTTATAGTCACTTTTCATTAGCAACTTGATGGGTGATGAAATCTGGAATATTAAAAAGGAACAAGTTGATAATTATGAGAAGCAGATGAAAAAGTCAATGCAAAGACTTGTTAATACTCCTTTGGAGTACATTATTATTATTCAAGGATACTCCTTCAGAAAGCAGGGAGTAAGGATTTGATATTCTCAAAATTTTAACAGTTACAAAAGACAGCACACTACCTGCTAATCATACAAAGTGGTCTTCTTACTAAATTACTTTAGTAAGAAAAAACACAGTATCTGTGATTTCTTTTAATATTTAACATACTGATATATATTCAAAACAGCTGCTATTTTTCATTGTTATTATGGATACAGCCACAAAAGGAATGCTCCCCTTGCAATTCATTATGTCTGTTTGATCTATTGTTACAAGGAAGTAGTGTACTGAAACTTATACTAATCCTGTCATTTGACATATTAAAAAGGAATAGAATTTTTAATAAATACCTATCACTCTTCATATGCAAGGCTAATCAGGAAGTAGATTATCAACAACACAGAGACAGCACAGAGGGAAAGAAAAGCCTTTTATTCTTAAGTATATTATATTCAATTTAGCTTTTTAATATTAAAGGATGCACCTTGTACCTTCAATATAAGAGCTGAACAACAATTAACTTTATGACTGATACAATTTATAGCAACAAACAAGTATGTTCTTTTACAGCAACACTGTCAATTTGCCTTGAGCCCACAAATCAGGTGTAACAATGCTATGGTAATAAATTTAATAAAAGTCAGTTACTTAAAAAAAAACCCAAACAAAATCAGTATGTTTTACTGTTATTATTCTGATGCATAATTGCATTACCATATTCACACTTATCTTACCTGCCACTACAGAGAAGCCAACGAGCAAGAGAATAGTGAGGTATGATCTTCTGTATGACACTAGCCATTACCATGGTAACCACCAACTGTACACCTATCACACCCTGTAGAGAAGTTAATAACAAGTCAGTATGTGTTTTAGAAAAGTGCTGAAGTATCTTTAAAAAAAAAATTGTAACAGTCTGCATAACAGGCATGATACAGTGGGAAGGAATGGGGGAGTGAGGGGGCAGAATACTGAAACAGTTAAAAACAAATTCTCTGAAACTTGCTACAATCACTTACAAAACTTCATCAAAGGGAAAAGGCATTCTCAGGTCACCACAGCTAACCTCCCTGAAGAGATCTAAGATCCTCTCCCTCATAATGCTGGCCTCATTATATATGTACAGATATTTCCTCTTTGTTTACCTACACGTGTGGGTCTCTATCTTCTATGATTAGTCATTTTCAAGGACTCCTCTCCACATGATCCTCATCCTTACTTTACCAGCTCAGTCCACCACCTTTTCCTCTTGATTTGAGGGTCATCACCTCTTTACTCTCTAAGTCCTAGTCTAAATAAAAGTTTGGCCAGACTACTGGCAAAGATGCTCTTGCCCCTCTTGGTCGGGTGGATAGTGTTCCATCTTAGCAGTCCTTGCACCTCAAAAGAGAGTCCCATGGTCACATAAGCCAAATCCCAGCTAATCAATACCTGCTATGCCATGAGCTGTTAACCTACAACTCTACATCAATCTTCCCCTTCCCTACCAGCAGTATAATCTTTCATTCTAAATAATGCACTAAGGAAAGTGCATGCATTCTTTTCTTCCTTCAGTGCTTTCTCCATTAGTAAAACACAAATTGTGCAGATACTGCTGTCATTAAAAAATATAGGCAGATGAAATGTTTTTCGATATACATTATTATCTGTAATTCCACAAGACGGAGGGAGAGAGAGACAGCACAAATTATCCTTTAAGCATTTATAAACACTTTCAATATGTCACCATATGTCTCATAAAAAAGTGCCATGCATCAATAAAGGGAGGTGCTACTTTTTTATACTTTGAAGGAACACATTTGGAGGCCGTCAGATACCATCAAGTTTCTTTAGTGCTCAGGAGTCCCTTCACCTTCTCCTTCCTTGGAATTTCTACTGCTTCTATGCTTTGGTGCCATCAACTCCTTGAGGTACCTCAAAAAATAAAATCTGAATTTTGTTTATGTTCTAGTTCACTGACATCAGAATTGTGCATAGTTCTGCACACAGGTTACTCAAACCAGCTCCCACCAGCTCCCTAGCTAAGGGAAGTGCAGTCCTAACGAAAGTATTAGCAGCTGCATGCATAATATATATGCTATACTTACAAAGGAAGTATATATTCTTTGAGTACAAAATAAACCATTTTAAAATCAAATGTTTCTTCTGACCACCTCACACTAAGCCCTATAACCACTTCCACCCAATATAGGAGAGAAATTACTGTCCCTTCATCTAGCCTCTCTACTGAGTCATTATTCTCAGAATTCATTCTCTTAGGGTGAACTTATTTAATTAATATTTCTCTAGAATAATATATTTATTAGAAGCACAGCTGAATCAGATGCCAGTATGTCTCTTCATTTACTCCTAGAGCTTCCTATCTGTAAGGGAAAGAAACTTCCTTAACTCAAGGCAAGAGAAGGGAAAAAGATGCAAAACGAGGCAGTTATCTTTATATAGGGCAGCAGGTCCACTAGCTGAGTTAAAATACTGAATAATACTCACAATTCAAGAGATTATTTAAAAGTTTACTACCAGAAACTAATTTCCTTACTCAAACAAAGGCTGCACGTTGGAACAGAACCTATTAGGAACAATTTATCCTAGCCACTGAATGTCTTTCTGCACCCTGTATACCCCTCTCTAGCAGAAATTTATAGTGCTCATTCCCATAAAGTTACTGATGTATTTGATAAAAACAGAAATATCTACAAACTATTCTTTGTACAAATAAAAATAATCTAGCAAGTTTTAAGCCACTTCTTAAAAAAAAAAAAAACACCAACCAAACATAAAACCCCAATGATATCTCTAAACTTAATTTTGACTTTGTGGAGGAAATATACTAATATCCTTCTGGTATTTTTCTAACTTTAAGCAATTTAAAATGTATATACATCTATATATACACACATACATGCCATATGTGGGTATTTTTCTTGATTCCTGAAGGTTAGTAATCAATCACAAGCAATATACTAATAGAGAAAAGCTGCCACAAGAAATTTTCTAAAAATCCACTGCATTAATCTTACTGCAATCTACCAAGAACGCTAGCCATAAAAACACACTAGATGATACAGTGAGTCAAAATAACATGCTACATGCACAGCACAACTTTTTGCCAACTCTACCTTTTTGCCTGGATGTGTTTAGATGTATTTGCCTGGATTCTACTTGTAGGTTTACTGACACACTCCAGAAAAATCTACAACACCCCAAAGTACCCCATTCTACAACACTAGAACACATTTTCCTTCCATCACTAAATATAGGGTTCAATTCAGGCTCCGTCTAGATCCAGTCTTCCCCACACCTCTGAGTCTTTACACTAGTATCAGTTTAAATTCAAAACAACTAATTTCAGAATTATAAATGACAACTGAGTGCTGGTTTCCACCAGTATTTTACATCTTCTACTTGTTCACTCTAAATTAGAGGACACAGGAGTCAGATCTTAGTCAGAAATCTACAACTTTAAAAATCTACAGTATGAGAAATAGAATGATATGTGTTTGAGGAAGAAGATGCTCAATGGCAAAGCCGACACCACAGGGTGTTTTGAGGACCTCTGGTAAGCAAACCCTGGAACCCACTACCAATCTGTTTTGAAATAAAAAGAACACAATCAGTGATTGGGTTGACTCAAAACTAAGAGAAGCACTAATCACTGTTAAGAGATGAGGAACTGCTGCACAGATTAAATAAAGTGTCTGTAGTTACAGAATACTTTGTGGAATTTAAACTATTTCATAACTGCTGCACAGATTAAATAAAGTGTCTGTAGTTACAGAATACTTTGTGGAATTTAAACTATTTCATAAGGTCTTTAACACTGATTCCACATACATCCATGTCCCTGTCACGCTACAGGCTTTGCAGCTCGAACTTGAAACCAAGTTCAAGACACCAGAGAGAGAGGTCTGTATTCTGCTGACCAAAGACATTTCTGTCAATCTCTCTAATACTGGGAAGCATGGGGACCAAAGCTGACTATGTAAGTCAGTTTTTCTGCAAAACACAGGCTGCCAAGCAAGCAACCTCCTGGTCAAAAACAGGACTGAAATGGTACAGCCATGCAGCAACAACACAGTCTAATAAACTGCAGTCTGACTGTGTTTCTGCCACAGAGGAAGATCTCTCATGAGAGGTGTCTCAGAAGTCTTGAGGACTGCGTTCACTTCCTGATCCTCCAGCAACCATGGCATTCCTACCTTTGTTTGAATAACTTAACATACTTAACATAAAAGCTTTAAATAAAACATCACAGAAAACACATTAAGTGGTCTACAAGAATAGTTTCAGCAATTACACTAGAGTGAAGATTGACAGATTTCTTAAAATTGGTAAGAAAGAAATGGCAGGCCAAAAATGCAAAATTGTAAGGTTGAACAAAGTATAACCTGGACTTTGGTTTTCACAGTCTTTTATAGTACATACCTGGAGACAGAGTTGCTGATTAGTAGAAGGACAAAAAACTAAGAATAAGCAATTAAGATAAAGTTACAATACTCTTATCTACACAGTAAGTGTAATTACAAAACACCAACGGCTATCTCACGGTAGCAAAAAAAAAAACCAACAAGTTTTTAAAAGTACTTCTATCTAAAGAACATTTTTCTTTTCATCATAAAATGACTTATAGAACATGAAATATAAAGATAGACAAGGCTGATTGCAGTATGCAAAGACACCATTCCAGTCTCCTTATTTTGACCTTGCCCAAGGTTATTCCTCCTTACCTGTAGTAAAAGGGCACAGGTTTCCATCTTTTCTTCCCTTTACCACCTATCTACCCATTACAAATAATTCAAATACCCAGCTTTTACACAGGACTTTGAAACTTTGTTCTCCTATAGCAACAATCTCTCCATTACAGAATAAGGGCCTTGAGCTGAAGCCAACTGCTGTATGCACCAGGACTGCAGTAGGGACACAACTGCATGACTGAAAAACAGCTGGTAGAATCCCATTCACAACTTCACCTTCAGAAATGTAATGCCCACTGCTTACTTTCTGAAGTGGCAAGACTTGTAAAAATAAGATTTTAACACAACTATACTTGAGTATTCTACAGATGTTAATACAGGTAATAACAATATCTTTCAATGGTAGCACACAAACACACTAACATGGCTGATGATTTTTCAAGCAAGAAACTGAGAATGTATTGGAACAGTAGTGGCCACCAAGATTTGTAACAGAATATAACAAATACTTCTATCTCCTGCAATTTTAAAAGTGCAATGGTATATGTGAAGTCTGGAAGATAAATCCACTTTGAAATGCCATTTAATAGCTGGCATGTTATTGCTTTTACTGTAAATAAGACTTTTCCCCATATAAATTTTTCTTCATGTGCAAATTTTTCTGCTTATGTTATGTCCATGCTAAAGCTCCAGCTCCCAAAAGCAAAATAGTGTTCTCCTGAAACATAAATGCAATTCAAAGTTGTTTCCCAAACAGTAGAAAATATTATATAGGATGGCCAAAGAAAAGTGAGCTTGCTGTTCAACATCTTAAAGCTAATGCTTACTGTGAAAAGAATTACTTTCACAGAATACCTATAGTCGTTATGATAATATAATCAGCAATCTGAGACAGTTCAAATCCTATGGTTTGTAGAAATCAGACATTCATACAGCTTATTTGGGAAAAAAAAATCTATGAGAAAAGAACTCTTTAAAAAACTCAGATTTTTACCTTTTTTTCTATTCTCATGACCAAGGCTTCCCTGAATTAGAATTTTCACACACTTACCATTGTTTACAAAAGAAGATGCTTAAAGTGGCATGAAGAATATACAAGGTGTTAAATAACATCACCTAACTGCTCAACCTCACAGAGCCTTTCATACCCAGAGGTCACTTCTCTCTTGACCAGTGTCTTTCCACAGTCAAAGGAGAGCCATAAACTGCTGTGTGGAAGGACTCAGATGTGCATGACTCCCTTTGAAACAAGGTGATTTGTTTGAAATCAAACAGCTTTAGTCAGTGAATAGCATTTTACCTGACAGTCCTGCTTCATGTACCACTGAGGTTCTCTAAGTACAAAGATTACAGAACTAATGGTCATTAGGCAAATCACGTTAGTGCTACAGAAATCTCATGGACGGAACAAGGGCATTTATAAAAATGCAAATTTATCATTTTTCCTAAAAAGGCAATATAGAATACCTGTTGCAGAGAATACCAATATATATGGAATATTGTTAAATTATACATAAAACTAGTTCAGAGAAATTATGTACTACACAGGGAAAAGAAGGTTATGCTGCATTATTATTTTTCCAAGATTTTCAAAATTCAGTTTGCTCAGTATTTCCACAAATAAGACAAGTAGGAACTACATAAGTTCCCACTCTCTAGAAGATTTGCTTTTTAAATAACAGGCTCTGCCATTACAGGAATCATTCCAAGTATAAGAAGTGAGAAGACTTTAATGCCTCTGCTGAACAGTCTAAAACACCATGGTCTTACAAAGTATTAAGACACTTGTGCAGAGCTTAAAGTCATGGCCTAACTGGCACTGCAATTGCACAGAGGAGTCCTGACAGTCCCAGCCTGGCAGGTGTTGACCTTTATAACCGATTCCTAAGCCTCTTGGTACAAAAGAAACTGATCAATGTTTCATTCTCCTGTTGCTTTGGAACTGGAAAATACAGCTTCCAAACAGCATAGAAGTAGACTACCATCTTTTGCCTTTGCTAATGTCACGGAATCACACACAAAGATTATTTGCCCACACTGCCAGCATCCAGTAAAGAAAACTGGACTGATCTTTCAACCCATTAGGCAACACAAGCCAGCACTCAATTAATTTACATAAGAACCTACACGGAAAGGAAAAATTTTTTTGCTTGCAATTTTCCAAATGTAGCTTCCCATACTAGACCACAACACTCACGGACCCGTACAAATGAGAGGAGCATCTCAAGACCTTTTGAATAAATATTCTAACCCCTGCAGAAAAGTAAAAAAAAAAAAAAAATTCAATTCCTTTCATAAACAAGAATTTACACTACAAAAACTACTTTTGTGAAACAACATGATTAAACTCCTAAGTAGGAGAACAGTTAAAAGGCAGGTTTTATCAAAAATATACTTGTAAAGTGAATTTCTTAACACTTAGATCAATGAACACTGGCGCCATAGCTAAAATGACCTATTGACACTTACATTCATATAGCCACATGGAAATGCAATATATTAATGGCACATAGAAAATACGTTTTTATACCTGCAGGCCCTGTCCCTTGTATCTCAAATATAAGTACATTCAAGGCTAAGCCAATCAATTCCAGTGTTTTAAATGCTAAGACCTAAATACAAAATTCAGCATATCTCTGTAGAGATGTATCTTTCTAAATTTAATATTCATGAAACACTTAGCCTGCTCTATTGAAGCAACACATATCCAACAATGTTACATTGTCAGTAGGAATTACACCAAACTTTGTCCCACTGTGTTACAAGGTAATTTACTGTGCACTACATTTAGTCCAATAAATTGTAGCTGTGCTGAAATACCTACTGTGAAAAGTAATTTGAGGTGGGACTTTTTTCATTATATCCTCTCCAGCTCCAACTGCTCTGTTATTCTGCAACACTCACGTGCTGCCACAGCACACATGGCAATTGTGACATGACCCAGAGCACCAAGAGCAAACTTGTGGCAATGAAGAACAAAGCATCTGGCAAAAGTTTCTGAATATATCCAAGATCACATACACACTCCGTTCACAGAGTAAGGAGACACGACAAGGCAGTTATAGAATCAATGCTGGAAAAGAACTTAGGATCATCAAGACCAAATGTCAACCTATCACTGCCACTGTAATCCCTAAACGTCTAGAACACACCACCGAGCACCAGGTCTAAACGGTTTCTAAAACACTTACAGGGATTGTGACTCCACCACCTCGCTGAGCAACTTACTCTAATGCCTGACCACCCAAACAGTAAATTTTCTTTTTTTCTAGTACCTAATTTGTATTTCCAATGTCTTAGCTTGAGGCCGTTTCCCTGAATCTCACTGCAGGCAGGGTAGAAGAGGCCAGCCCCCTCCCCACTACAACCTCGTGTCAGGTAGTTATAGAGAAAGAGAAGAATCCTATAAAGAGACATCCTATAACCCCGTTACATCGCACTAAGTGCAGCGGCTCGTTCCATTTCCCAGGGGAAAAGCAACAGAGAGGGAAACGACCACCGGGCAGCGGAACCGTGTCGGTGTAAGGCGGCGGAGGGCAGCAGCCACCGCAGTGCTCCATTCACGAGCGCCAATTACAGAGCTCGATGGTGTCACCCCACTGCCTCCGCGGCCCCGCCGCGCCCAAACCCCCGGGCTGTCCCCACCGCCAGGGACATGCAGCAGCCCAGCCCGGAGCCCAGGGGGGCGAGTGGCCCCGGCTCACCATGGTGCCCGCGCGGGCCCCGCCAGCCGCCGCTGCCGCCCGGCTGGGCCCCGCTGCCGGCACATAAATCCGCCGGCCGCCGCTGCACAGCGCACCCGCGGGCACGGCGGGATCCCGCCGCCAGCAGGGCCGCAGCTGTCCGCACAGCCGCCTGCGCGGGCGGGGCCCCGGAGCGCCGAGGGGCCGCTGCGACGGACAGCCCCGGCCCCGCCGCGCCACCCGCGCCGGCTGCAGACAAGCGGCGGAGGCAGCGGCGCCCGCCGCGGCGCACGGCCCGCCGGCCCCTTGCAGACAGCCCTGTCAGGCGCCGCGGGGACAGCCTGTCCCGGGCAGGGCACCGCCGCCGCACCAGCCACGTGACGCGGGAGGTCGCCCCGACGGCGGAGTTCCGGCAGCTCCCGGTCCCCGCGCGAGGCGCGGCACCGCCGGAGCACCGGGAGAGCCGCGGGCAGAGCGGGGACGGGCCCGGCCCGGCGGCGGCGCCAAATGAGCCCGGCGGAGGAGCTGGGGGTGGGGAAGGGGGCTTGCGCATGCGCCGAGGTCGCGCACTCCCCCGTGCAGACTCTGCGCATGCGCAGCTATGCGGGCTGAAGGCGGTAGGGCGGCCGAGTCTTCTTGCTGTGAGGGCGGCTCTCCGAGGAACCAGGGAAATATTGTAGTATTCTACTCCTCGTAGAATACCCAGTACTGCGAACCACCTGGATCTGTCCGAAAGGGACAAAACCGCACAACAATTTTGTCCTAAATCTTGGCTTTTAAATGCGTCGCTGTGGTCCATTAATGTGTGAGCTGGAAACAAATAGGAGCATTCTGCTTGAATAGATAAATGGTACTTCTGTAGAAAATACTTGACGTCTGTTTGTATTTTGTCAAGCTTTGTCTGCCTCCTGAGAAACCCAGGAGGGCAATCACAGGATGGTTGTGAAAAACGTCAATCACTTGGTTTTTAAAATTTAAAAAGTTTAATAATAATAAAATGGTTATTAAAATAGTAATGCAACTAGAGTAATAAAGTTTAGAGTTAAGACAATTACAAGACAATAAAGAGCAAATAGTTATGGGCGTCCGGCTGCTCTCGGACACTAAGTCACAAAAAGCATCCCTTGTGAACAAAGGAATAACCTTAAAAGCAATAGCCTGTTGCATACTCATATATCTCATACATGGTGCATAAATTTCTTGCAAATTAAGAACTTTTCTGGTTTTTGTCAACTTCTCCTTAATCTTGCTGATTCCAAAAAGACGGAGAGAAGGTGGAAGAATGTTAGTCTTTTCTGATAAGGAGGCTGTAACTTTTTATGGGCCCCCTTCACTGACATCTCTGTGTGAAGAGTTTCTTGATTATCTCATCTTCCTGCTTGAGCTTGTAACAAATCCTATGTCGCAGAGTTTCTATTTTACATTATGTTGTAACATAAAATTACCTTTAACACACTACTTAAACGAATTAATACAGCATAACTTTCTAACATTACACATACAATATTCACTGTAACATTTGCGAAAAGCCAATCATAAGATATGCATTTTTCACAATGGTGATCCCATTAGTGCCCATTTCCTCAGGTTTTGACACGCTGGTGAGTGTGGTTTTGTCCCTTCTCTCCTGCCATGCCTCTTAAAAGCACTGTCAATGTCGCTACCTCCTGTGCTGCAGATCTTTTTCTCCTCTGAGACATCCTGTGAGATGTCAATAGACCAGGTGTTGAGTAGATCCTTTCATGGTAAAAAAACCTCAAATTTTTCCAATTATACCCAGCTCTGAGCCACACATTGACTTCACATATCTGCCTATTCCTATCAATATTGTTCCTTTTTACTAGAAAGATCGAGGAAGTCAGCACTTACATTCCTGATAGTGATTTGAGTGATAACAAAGCATGGAAACAGTAAATATAGAAATTCCTCCCTGCTATAAACTAACTCCTATGTTAAGGCAGGGCAATTTAAGAAAGTTTTTTTTTGACACATCCTAATTACAAGGTTCAGTGTGAGCATTTGTTACTCTCTGAAAAATATAAACAAAATGTGCTAAATGGTGCATAAGATTTTGTTTGATAACATGCCATTAGTCAAACACCTCAGCTGATGTTATGGAGTCAAAAGGTAAAGGAAGAGAACAAATTTTTTTACCAGTGTCTAGAAGTTAATTTAGCTGGTTGTTGTATGCACATCTGTAACAATTACATGGCAAGAAAATAACAAAGAATTTTTAAACTTGGCTTAATACTTCAAGTTATGCAGTTGCAGATCTAGAACAACTATATAATCTCATATTAATGAGGAAAAATGTAAACTGGTGATTTTTCAGCTTATAGGTTTTTGCGGAATAAACTGAATCTGCTAGACAGTTAGTGATCCATTTTCAAAGATGCAAGCTACCCAAGTATGCTTCACATTAAAAACGTCAAACCTAAGCAAAGGAAAAAACACCAAAAAAACTAGGTTTCAGTCTTTCAAGAAGTTTCATAAGGACTGAAAGGACCTTTATTTAAGTTCAGAATAGTATTTTTCCTTTTTCAAACCCTTAAATGTAAAATATGTGCAATTTTAATTTACATTTTTTCATACATTTTTTTCTAAAATTTCTGTTCTTATTCTTGTTTTGACCATGTAATATATAGAATTTAAAGAAAATCAATTTTTAAAATCATAAGTAATTTTTTTCTTTTTTTAACAGATATTTTTGTTCTACTAAGATTACATTTTGCAGGGACAGATACAAGAAAAAATTTAAGGTTTTTCTTACATTTTTATTTGGTTCTGATGGTTTTACAGAACCATCAGGTGCAAAAACATAAGAATGTGACTAAGATAATTAGGATATAGAGTTTTTAATTAATTTGAACTTAATAATTGTGCTACTTGAAAGTGATGGGACAAAGTGTTTGAATTTAATTGTCTAAAAATAGGCAGCTAAAACTGTCTTAGTTCATTTTTCAAAGCAATCTAGTTTAAAAGGGAGCAGATTCCTGGCACTTCTAGTGCAATTGCAGAACATATTAATCAGTTAGTATCGATATTGTCTAACTGCATGACTTATTTACTATATTCTCATGAGAAAGATTAAGTTGACCTTGCCCTCTTACAATATTCCACATATTCTTAATAAGCTTAATAAATATGTATACTTTCACCAATAGCCCAACTTTAAAACTGAGGCCCTGGGGTCCTGTGACCACCGGACACACCACAGGGTCAGGTCCTCAGGAGCCGGATAGTGTTATAGGTGCTTCCTCTCGGCGGCGGGATGACACTCAGACGGCTTAGTTTCCAAGAGGGTTTATCGAAGGAGAGATGGGTCAGGGAGCGCAGAGGGACAACCACTCTGAAAGGGAGCTCGAACTGAGAGCCCTGAGCAGAGGGCGGGGTGAGGATTCTAACTGTGGCCAGGAAGGCGGGTCAGGGTAGAGAACAGCCAATGAGGGAAGGGTCCATGGGCGGAGTGGAAGGTGAGTGATAGGGTTATAACCAATGGGTACAATGGGAAGGAGTAGTTTCAGGGAAGGAACCAATGGGGTTACAAAGAACAAAGAACTTTCTAGAACTGGGGAATGGTTTACATAATAATTGACAGGGATGAGGGGAAGGCACAACCAAAGACTGACAATGGCGGGAGGTGGGGAGCTAGACGTTGGTAACCTCCCACGGCATCTCAGGGGGACTATCTCCCAAGTCCCCTCCCACATAAAACTCTAATTGATTTATCTACATGTTTTCTGAATGTATTATGAATACTAGTCCAAGTGACACTATTTTGCAATAGTAAGTCCAAAGTACAGTGAATTATAAATCTTGCAGAATGCATCCAACTTGTTGATAACTTCTAAAGAGTCAATACATCACCTGGGGACTGTGAGACCCAATGTTGCCCCTAGAAGAAACTCAGTGTAATAATTCATGATACTGATGTATATAAACTCACAGACATACTTCTATTCTTACAGTTATGATTTGATCTTCAAGTGGAGTTTTCCTTGATTTACTTCCCTCCGACATAAGGCTTCATAGTTGCATGACATGAAGATGTTATTTGCATTAGTCTGAAAACAAGTATTTAATAAAATATGAAATGCATACAGATTTGTCACTCAGGCTCACAGCTTGAAGGTTATTGAGATCTCTGGACTGTATTTATGTCCCATATGTGTGAAGCATGTATGAACATATTATTTATACATGTTCTGGTCAAACACTTCACATGATATGTCTATTTAAAACTGTGGTTTTGCTCTACACCTGAACATAGGAGGAAGATACAACTACGTCTTTTCTATACAATGCTCTTAAATATAATTATTTCACTTCTTTTTTTTTTTTTTTTTTGAGGTGAGATGGAGTTTAGAACTAAGAATGCACATTGTTAGGATTCCAAAACAGATCAACAGCATCAACATCTAGAAAAAAAGCCAAATACAATAAAATAACTGTGACTTAATATGATTTAATATCAAGAAATTAGTTAAGAGCAGTGGGAAAAAAAATCCTTGATCCTTTCTTCTTAGAATTTTAAATTATTTTATAATATAACTGTTGTACCTCCTTTGAACTAGGTCTATCCATCACAGCCTGGATGGAGAAACAGCTCTTCCTGCATATTATAGAGCCATAATGTGAGGAAGGCTTGTGACAGAGGACAGAGGATAATAAAAACCTAAAGACCCCATTCAAGAGCCTGTTCCTGCCATTGTCTACAAATTCTTTTGTGTCTTTACTGAAACAACAGGTACCACTTCTTGGTCTGATATACACTGGGATGCAGCATTCCTATCAATCCACATCTTCAAAGTGGTTTTGGGTCTCAGTAGGCAAACGTTGACCTTAGCTATGCCTTGCAGAGCTGCTGCCAAACAATGTGAATTGTCTCCCTATACATTGTATGGAGAGGCCCTGGTGGTACTTCACTTCTTTCCTACTCTCACACTTTTTAGGTGTTTCATATGAAGGAGTCACAGCAACTGAGGTTTAATCTCACTTCTGACACAACTTCACTGTCTCTTCCTTCTTCCTCTATTGTACAACCTGCAGCCACTCTCTTCCCAGCCCAGCAAATATGAAATACTTTACACAGAAGCTGTGGGCTGAGGGGGTCTCTTACCCTGGGGCATCAGGTGGTTAAGCCATGTCTTGAATGGCTACAGGAAGAAGTAAAGCTCAGAGAGGTAAAGGTGTGACATACAGCTGTGTTTCCTGTGCTCCCACTGAATTGCCAAAGAACAGGTGGGAGATACCTCTGACTACACTGTTTTTTGTGTCATGTCCACATCCTGTCCTGTCCAGACTATTGCTTTCTTAAAGATCTCATGAGATGGGCAAAGCTGAGAAAGCCCCAGGGACTGCAGACCATAGTATATTTTGGAGCAGACCTTTAAAGATCATCTAGTACAACTCCTCTGAAATGAGCAGGGACATCTTCAAGTTGATCAGGTAGCTCAAAACTCTACCCAAATTTACCTTGGATATTTCCAGCGATGAGTCACGTGGCAACTCTCTGGGCACTCTGTGTCAGGGCTACACCACCCACTCTATGTAAAAAGTTTTCATTATGTCCAGTCCAAAGCTAATCTTTTTATAGCTTAAAGCCATTTCCCTGTCCTATCACTACAGGACTCACTAAAATGTGTGTCCACACATTTCTTTAAAGCCCTCTTTAGGTCTTAAAAGATTAAAGTCTACTGTGCAGCAACAGAGCATACTCTGTTGAGAGCACACAAGGTAAGTACCTACAAGGCTTGATGAGACTCACCAAATTTTATATTCCCTTGTTTTTTCATTTTAAAAGACATCTTTACCTAATGTGTTCTCAATTGGTTACCTATAAAGTGATGACATCAATATATCTATAGTATCAATATTGTGCAGAACATTTGACTGATATACTTTATGTTCAAACATAAAATAAATTGTAAAGAATTACGTACATTGAGTTAACAAAATTATTCCCTAAAGATAATAAAGCTTCAATTTAGCTCATCTGGTACATAAATTAAAGGAGCAGGCATTTATTTTCACAGATCTGCTCTTTTATTACCATCATCTTCATCTTCACCATCATCATCATCATCATCATCATTACTTTACATGAACATAATTACTCTTTATGTAATGTATCAATTTAGATACAACCTGTAATTGCTAATAATTGCTGGGAAGTAAATGCTTACTTTCCATAGCCTGATAAAAATTATGCTTGTCAGTATGTATAGGAGTAAGTCTGTGTAAGAATGGGAACTTTTATTTTAGAGACCAGTATTAGAAAGCAAAACTGTTGTCAATTTGCCATAGAATTAAATTTAAAACCAATTGGGTCTTAGCCAGTTCTGTTTTGCAATGAGAGAGGAGGCTAGGCTGGGCTCACTGACATTTTCACAAACCCAATTTTGTTGATTTTTCACTTCAGATAAGATTCACACACAGCTTGGGGCTCCTGTCATGAAAATAAACTTTTAAAAATTTGGCTCAATTCTGTTTTCAAGTTTTTTTACTAAAAGTGCAGTTGGGCAATCTATAAAGAGGAAATACATTCTGCTAAGTGAGACCAGCTAGACAATTCTAAGAAAAATCCCATACTGTCTGCCTGTTCTCTGTTCTTCACTGTAGATATATATAAGCTACTCAGAAAGCCATCCTGTTTGGGGCCATGCATTTTATTTTCTTTCCCTTCTAAAGCAAAAAAGCACAAGATGCTATAGGTGGTATAAACCTGCATCACATCTATGTAAGGTAGGCAGAGAGAATATTTTCCATTAAAATCCTGTTAGATGTTCATGAAAAGTTATAAAAGTAAATCACAGGACTATCAGCATGGTGTGAAATAGTGGAAGATCAAGACATAATAGGTTCTGATTTCTCTTTCACTCTCTGTATTAGAGGAATGGTCTCCTTGTCTCCTTTTCCTGCTATATTGATGGGTGTTATGTTTAATGTTGGACAGTCAGGAAGGACTGGTCCTGGCTTAGGAAACCAGAATAATCTCAAAGCAATTCCAGGAGTTCCGTTTTAACTGGACATGAAGATCACGACAATTATCTCTCAAAACTTTCAGCAGGCTGTAACAGGTACATCATTAAGAAGATTCCACTACTAATGAGGTATCCCTGCTTCATGGAGTATTCTCAGAAAGAAATATCCCCCTAGGGCTATGAGGTGTGCTACCTGCAGAACCGAGCACTGGCTACCTCCTGCTACAGAGATGCCAAGTATCCAAATCTATTTCATTGATCTGTGCTGAAAGTTGCATAATATTCTACAATCACTGTGAAAGAGGGTATTAATTCTGCATAATTATTATTAATGTATAATTTCATGTAGACACTTCCCATTCTGAAATATATATGAATTAAATTTAAAAATTAACTGCAGCATTGAATGGACGGCACTAGGGTGAGAGTTTTGCATTCTGAATTCCCCTTTTTGCTTAAAAAAAAAAAGAATGAAAACATAGTTCCACCCTAATTTGTGCACCTTTTAAAATTATCTATACATGATTGTGTATTAAAAAAAAATGTGATTACCACAATCATTAGATAATGTTTTACGCATCTTAAACCAAATTATTCTTCCTTTGCTTCTCTTAATATCTGAAGTGAAAAAGTGAATGGAAAATGGTAGCACTATGGTCATGCACTATTTTGTTTTACTTGTCCGAGGAGAAGTAGTTTATGTTATTTATCTTGAAATAAAGAGTTAATGCCAACTTGGGTGGGGTTTTGTTTGTTTTATTTTATTTTGCAGATAATGTATTTTAGCTTTTGGCATATTTTGGCTTTTGGCATAGTATTTTAGCATAAAAACATTTAAGATGGATTACTAATTACTGAGAAATTAATCTGTAATTCTGGATACCTTGGAAACAACATATGCTAGCAACAACAAGAAAACTAGGTCTTTAGTGGCATTGTGGAATATTCTGAAAGCAATAATTGTGGGAAAACTCTGTCGTGAAATGTGCAGTTTGCACTGTTTTGGGGACAGGGGCAATTCTGCTTTTGGGCAGCATGTGCATATCAAAAGTCCTTGAGAAAATGTACCACTAGAATATAAAAGTCTGAGTCTTAGTGTCTTTTACTTGGTCTTTTTTATTATTTACCTGTTGCAACATATACTGGAAATGCAGTTCTTTTATTAGATTTCTTCTCTAGATTTCTTGCTTGCTTTCACTACCATGGAATCTAGGAGACAAATAAGTTAATAACATTTTTTCATTTAAACATATATAGTGCAGAAATAGGCTGTTTACAGTCTGTCAAAACTTTCCAATGGAAATCAACAGTGAAAAGCTATAAATAGGACCTAGGGTATGATTTTGTCTATTTTGTAATGTTTAAAAATTATATCTTAAAACCTAGGTTGATTCTATAAAATGTGGTTATGTGTATTTCATTCTTTCAAGGTTTCTTAGAGAATGATCTATACTCATATTCCCTATTAAACTTCTGCTTTTTCAAAATTTTTTGCTTTCTCACTGTTCCATGTGCTCAGCAGTATATTAAAGGAAAAGTAAAAATTCAGTGAAGAGACCCTTAAACCAGTTTCAACTCTCTTGTACTTTTATTACTATTTTGCATTCATCTTATAGAGTTTATGTGGGAAATAAAGCACAGAGACCTCCCAAGGCCTCAAACATACAAGCTCAGAGATAGAGATGGATACAGTGTTTGACCTAGGACCTTGGAGAAGACTTGAAGTTTTCAAATAGAAAAGTTAAACAGACATGAAGTAAGAATAAAGACATGTAGTTTAAGCAGAAATATGTTTTAAGCAAGTAGAAATATGCCTTGTGTAAGCAAATAAATATGTTAAGCAAGATAGTAGAAAATTTTAAAGTCTAGCAGTAGAACTTGTGTCATGGTTTGACACGGGAAGAGAATTTTTTTTAGAAGGAAGAGGTTCACCAGTCAGGGGTCAGGTTTAGATACTGACACTTGGGGTGACCAATTGAAGGTGGACACGCCTCTGAGAACACAGAGGGGTTAAAAGCGGAATTCCCAGGAAGACTCGTCCTTCTTTTAGTTCCGGTCACTGCATGGGACGGACCTCTCCCCTGCCCAGCCCGGGCTGGGTGGGGGAGGGGAGCCATGCGGCCTGCAGAGGTAGGCCAGGGGGTGAAGGATCGGAACCGGCTGGGTCAGCTCCTGCAGATGGAAGGGTGGAGAACATCTGGGATGTTTTTGTCCCCCCCCCCCCCCCCCCCCCAAGCCAGAGGGAAAAGAGATAGAGAGCCAGCAGACACCTAGAAGTTTGCCGGCGGAGGAGAAGGAGAAGGGGGGGGGAAATGCCCAGCGTGGGAGACTAGAGAAAGAGTCCTGGGCTGAGATTGCAGTCGTCCGGGGAGTCCGGGAATTTTAACCCTTTCCTGTGTTATGAAGGCTTTATGAAATATTGCTCCTCCTGAATTTGAAGAAAAGAGAGACAGCTTGAAACCTCAGATGTTCAGAGAAGAAGGTTGGGGGCAGATGATAGAGTGGCCTTTGGCTGGACTCTGCTTGTTTACCATAGACTGAACCACTCTTTCTTTCAAGAGGGACTGCATTTTAGGGGGATGCATTGGTTGAGCCAAGAGACCTTCTGCAGCAACTACCAGTTTGGAGTGGACAGAGAGAGAGCTGAGGAGGGTGTGAGGATGCCCTCCATCTTCAGGAAGAAGAGAAGGCGATCTCTGTCTTTTGGACCCTCGGCCCCAGGGGAAAATGGGGGGGACTCTAGTCCCAAATTGTGATACTGGACTGTTGTTCCTGGTGGTCCTTGGCAAAGCATCCTTAAAGGGGCCCTATAAGCAGTCTCTGTCCATGCCCGGTGATGAGAGCACTGGGACATGGAGAGAAGAGTGTCACATTGGCCGGTCTGGACGGTGCCACGTGTGACATTGGAAACACAAAGGTGGCAGTTGTGTTTCCTGGGGGTCTATGGTGCAAGGGGGACTCCTCTCTTCCCCGATGGACTCAGTATTGATTATATTGAAGGGTGAAAACTTGATTAAGGATCCAAATGGGTCTCGCTGGGGTTTGGTGGAGTTGGGTGGAGGGAGGAGAAATGTTTTGGAAGGTTTTCATTTCGAATTTTGTGTGTTTTTTTCCTTTCCTTTCTTTTCCTTTTATAGTAGTAGTAGTAGTAGTGTAATAAAGCTTTTTCTTTTGTTATTAAGTTTGGCCTGCTTTGCTCTGTTCTTGATCACATTTCACAGCATTTGATTGGTAAGTTGTATTTTCATGGGGCGCTGGCATTGTGCCAGCGTCAAACCATGACAACTTGTTATAAAGTTAGTAAAAAGTAAATACAGCAATAAGTTTCTGTAGAATTATATGATCGGAAAAAAATAGATGCATTGTGGCAAAATCATATAATGCATACCAATTAATGATTGGTTAATAAAGATGCTAGCGAGCTTTGTGGAAATAGCTGATTGGGTGAGAGATTTATAAGACATTGTAACTAGAATTAGAACAGCTTCTGTTGTGATGGCATGAATGGATGGAACAACCTTGAGGTCTCACCTTTCCATGAGATTGATTTTACATTAAACCATCTTTTAATTACCTCATCAGCCAACCCTGTCTACACTGTGTCCTGAACAATTCGTGCCCTCTGTGTGAGGAAGATTTTTTGTCTCAGTTTGGGACTGCCCCAGAGGATGATTAAAAGACTGCTGAAAGGAAGCAGGTTTTGCGAAATATGTACACCTGAGATGAGAGTGAGTCAAGCTCTAACTTGCTGCTGAGAGGAAGCAGAATAACTGTGCTTGCTGGATCGAGCCTGGCTTGAGACTGACTTGGATCACTTGTGAACAGATGTCAGGTGAGCTCTGGGGAACAGGACAAGAGATGTCCAAAGAAAAGAGAGATGTTTACACCCGTTTAAAAACCCTGATAAGATGTAATTCTTGTGCTGTACCTAAGCAAGAACTTAATGACCTTTTAAACTGGGTACAGAAAAGTTTTGTAGATGCAGATCTTGAGTCTGCTTTTACTACATCTCTTTGGGATGCTATTGGAGTTAAACTTTATGACACGATTTCTCATTGATATTTTACAGCTGCTAAGTTGCTCCCAGCGTGTTGTATGCTTATCGAGATATTTCGCAAGCAGTCTAGTCCAGCTGCACCTTTGGTAACTCCTTCAGCTCCGCAGAGCCCACAGCCACTCGCTGCCGCTGTGCCTGCTGCGTCTGTGCCTCCTTGGCCACCGCCCCTGCCTCAGATGGGCTCTCTTCTGCCACTGCTTCAGGCAGTGGCTGCACCTTTGCCTGCTCCAGCTGTGCCTCCTTTAGTCACTTCTAATATCACAAAGGAAGGGAAAGATGAAAAGGAACTTGGAACTTTTAAACCCACTATGGGGGTGCAAGAGTCAGAAAAGTATTATACTTCTGAAGAAGAAATTGATCTTCTAGACTCTGATCCTACAGACCCACATTTAAGATATGACCTGTTCCCTCCTGACCCTAGGTAGCCCCCAAATCCCCCAAAGGACCCTAGAGAGTCCTTTCTAAATCAAAGGATTTTCTAAAAACAATTTAAAATTGACTGATTGGACTGAAATATGGCACAAATAAGCCACCCTAAGCTACATGGGCCACCTATGATGTGTGATAGAATGGCAGGCCAAGCTCTATTTCCACAGGTAAAAAACATGCCTTGCAGCAGCTATAAAGGTATGTCAATAGGCCGTGCAAGTACTGGGGAAGTGTAATTACACCAAGAAGTTTGGTTCTTAAACAGTTGGTGACAGGGAGAAACATCTTTAATCAAGAATGACTCTTTCCCTGTATAGATGAACTTAATACAAAAATCCATTTTTACTGAGCCAAGGAGATCTATCTCCTGAGGCTCTTAAGATGTTTGAGGAAGTTCTCCTGCCCAATACTTCCAAGCACCTACAGGGCTGTAATCCCAATCGCACATTCTGCCAGCACTTTTACCTCTTAAAACACAAAGAGTTTTCTCTCTTATTGGCCAAGTGTCCACAGGCAGCCCTACTAAGCAAGTGGAAAATGGATTTTCCAGGGTTGTAGGGGCTAAGCATATCTAAGCCTAATGCATTAGCTAAAGTCACCCAACCATTCATTTTGGGTTGATTAACAGTAAAAGTTAAGCTACTAAAAGCAGACAAAATAAAAAGATGTAAGCATAACCTTGATTTAGCTCCATGCTTATCCTTAATCATTTAGTGGCAGGGAGCCACTGCTTTCTAGAGTATTTCTTCCTTGAGGCTCTCCTTTTTGAACTACTACTCAAGGCCACTTGTGAGGCCTCTCCCTTGGCCTTTTCCCAGCAGAAGGTTCTGCTGTTGCCCCAGTTAAAACGGTTACTATTTTGCTTGCTTTTAGCCTTCCTCATGTTTTTTTCACTGGCTGTGTTTTTACATCATCCTGTGGGACAACAGCTATGTCCCCACTGTCCTCCTGTGCCTGCTTCTTTGCTCTCCCCCTCTTTTTCTTCTGGCCCTCGGTCAGTGTAGATGAGATGGGATTCCCTGGCTCTTCACTGCTCATGTATACAGTGTCAATTGTTAGATGGTTATGTTAGAAATAAGCACTCTCTCTGTGTGCTTATTTCTCTGCTTATGGGTTTGGTGTGGTTTTGCACATGATATGGCTTTACATTCTATACTGGAATCCACTTAGGTCCACAAGCATACCCTTTGCCCCAGGTTATTGAAATAAAATTTCAGGGAGGGGAGGGGAGGGGAAGGGAGGGGAGGGGAGGGGACTTGTCTTTATCTTCTTGCAAACAGCATAAATCAAACTTTTTTTTTCTCTTATTTTTGTATAATTTTTAGGAAAGCTTATTGAGAATGAATGGCAAGATAGATTTTTAATAGGGAAAATTATTGTTGATTAGGAGGGAAATAATTATCACTTCTTTCCCCTGTGCCCCACAGAAAAAGGCACTGTCCTATTGATATCAGTACAAGGAGCCATCAAAAGGTGTCCTCATTCCAGGGGGTGTGGATCAGAGGGGCCCAAACCCGGCAGTAGCAGCTGCAACTCCCCCTTCAGCTGACCTTAAGCCTGAAAACCCCTCCATATTCCCACTTCTTCCATGTCTTTGGATGGTGGCTGCCTGGGGGATGCAGACTCCTCCTTGCCTTTCCTGATACAGGAGTGGGCATGGGACTCAAGCATTCTTATTTCCAGTGTAAGCAAACTAAACCTGTGTCATTTTTTATTATAACTATTATCACTGTTGCCATGATGAGAAGGGGGTCTCCCCTCATCTTGGAGCCTACATTTTGTGCACCTGCCAGACCCCCACTGGTGTTCTCACAGAGAACTCTTCCCTCTCCTCCTTGGATACAAACAGATCACATCCTCTAATAGATAGATTTCCTCATGTATAAAGATAATTAACTGATTGTTCTCCTTTTCATGGTGTTAGCACTGATGTCCTGCAGCATGGTGTGTTTCTCTTTGTACCCAAATCTTAGACCCTTCCCAGACCTGACCCACTGTTTGGGTGCAGCTACCTCCTCATCTCCCCTGATGCCCTAAATCACACACAGGGGACAGGTAGCTTTGGAACAGTAAATCTTTTTCTGGGGTTTTTTTCATAATGAAGTGGGGGATGAGGTTTTGGCTCTCACAGTTCCCAGTCTATCACCACTTGTTAATACACCCCACCCATCTTGGGTACCAGCTTGCTGTATTTGGGAACATCTCTCCCACCCACCCCTAACACCTCTGCACTGGGAAAGACAAATTTGGATAAATACTGATATTTCCTTTTGTAGTGAAAAAACAAGATGTGTTTGGGCTATTATGGCAGGGCAACTTCCTTAGAAAGATTATTTGAAGTACAAAGGCATTCATTTAGGGCTCACGATGCTGAGAGAAAAGGGCTCTACTATAAATTAACAGCCTGTTCTGGTATTTGGAGAACAAGAGTGACAACTTGTTGGAAGTTCACAAGGAATCATTTATATTTCACACTCCAGTAAGCAGCTGATTTGAGCATGTCTGTTAGCATAACAAAAGCTCCGAGCCTGTGAACTTCAGAAACCTTTCGACCTCTTAGCTGCTGGCATGAATAGCCCCCAGCTCTTACTATAGAGATCTCCCAAAGCTCCCCTGTTCGTGGATAAATTGTTAATCAGGGTAATTTAATATAGTTTTCAATATGACCCATCTCTGATTGAGTATGGTATTCACAGATCTTGCCCCCTCCAGAAAGAAAAGCTCCTCTTTATTCAAGTGTGAGAAGGGCAGCTGCAGAGCCCCTAAACCCGCTCAACCTTCTCATCCTCCAGCACAGAGGATGAAGGGAGTGAGGCAAACTAGGAAGTACACACTTATCTCTCCTTCACTCCCCAGAATCCCCAAACCTGACACTCTCATACCCTTGCAATCCCTCCTCCAGCAGGTCTGATGACTTCAATATTAAATCTAGATTTAAATTATTTAATATATTTGTTTTCATACCTATATTTTTTCCTTCCATCCCTTCCCTTGTCATCAGTGGGCAGTAATCTGGGTATGAGCTGCATCTCAGCCAGCTCCTTCAGGGCACTTCTGGGCAGAGACAAGGGGATTTATTTCCCGTCCTGTTATGTGGTGTTTCCTCTTCTTTCTCTCACTTATCCTGCAGAAAGTTTCTGGGACCAAAGTTTCTATAGAGGAAATTTAGTGTATGAGACACACCAGAGTTTTGGGGGAAGGAGTGTTTTTTTTGTTTGTTTGCAGCATAGCCTGGTATTTGAGTTCTTGGCATGTGTAAAGTTTCTGGCTACAATATGCCAGATTTGGTAAATGATGGGGAAGAAATCTGTGCTATTTGCAAAGTGAGGTGCATGGTCAAGAGTACAGTCCACTGCATAGTGTGGGCTGTGTGGTTTTCCATGGTCTCTGCCTGAAGTGTGTGAGTGGATTCTCAATATGTCATCTAAATAGCTACTGAAGAGCATGGAGAGGAACACTTTCTAAAATAAAACTAATCAGGGGAAGTTTCTTTAAAATATATGAAACCATGCCTGAGTTCTGTTATATGCAAAGATCATGGAATAGTTTGTTCTTGAAACAAAAGAACAAAACCGAATTAAGAACAACATATAATTGTGCAGATGGACAAATCAGAAACATGTTTTCTGTGTTTTATTTTCCTGAAGTAGGGGATATATATCTTAGCATTTTACTTTTTTGTTTTGACTTTAACAATTGTGTTTCTGAACATCAGCCACACAATTCTTAATCTCATTTTTTTCCCTGTTTTGAAGCTCCATATTTGTGCTTGATTTCCCTGAGAAATTTTTCATAGACTTCAGAATTTTCACAGAATTTTCTGAAATCTATAGAACAAGTCTTAATCAAGATAAGCTTATGGTTCTAATATTTGTCAAATGTCTTTTAAAAAATCAAAAAAATCCAAATAAATAAGATACTCACTTCACAGAAATTAAAGAAATAGCCATCAGTTTCCTTTAAGAATCTAAAATTGCAGCTTTTTTTTTTTTACTTCTTGTTAATTAGGGTTTTTAAAAAAGATTTTAACTTTGTTACAACTATGATGCATACCTATCATTTCACACTGAAATATCAGAATTTCTGTTAAATTGTCTTTGATAATATTAATAATTGTGCAGGAGAAGATGCCTTTGCTTTGTACCAATACAGAAGTATATTTTTGTATTTAAAAAAAAAAAAAAGTTTTAGATTCTTAATTAAAATAATTTTATTTTGACTGAAAGTCCAGTTAATTCAATTCTGATTAAAAATTGTGTAGGACTTTTTTTTTTTTTTTGGTTGTGGTTTTTTGGGTTTTATTTATTTTTTTCCTGCTAGCAAATTAATAACTGATTTTGTGCATATTTACTTAGGTGCTTATTTCTGAGCTGCTTCCATTTAATGATACAGTTTGGGCCTATAGGCCTATTGTATTGGAAAAAATATAGATATTTGGGATGATGTTTGACATGGGAAATTAATGCGGACACCAGAACAATTACATTACAATCCCACTGGGAGCACTAGCACCAAATTTAGCCAGACTGATGGGACACTGTTATCTGACCTACTACAAACTACATGGCATACCCTCCAGGCCAGAGCTTGCCCTTTCTACATCCTATAAATTAGAAGTCACACAAATTTACCAGATTTGTTGAAGAGGGCAATGCTTGAGAAGGTTGCCTAGCTAGCCCCTCTTGGACAGCACCACAGCCTTGCACAACAAAAGCCTTGTACGCATTATTCCATCAGGACAATTTCTGATGTCAAACATAGAGGCTTGTAATATAGTTAACGCCCATGCTGACTGCCAAGGCCACACTGCTCCACTGCAGATGGGAATTAACCCTCGTGGTCTGAGAGCCTTACAAATTTGGCAAAACGATGTCACACACATCCCTGAATTCGGACATCTAAAATATGTGCGTGTGTCCATTGACACTTTCTCATCAGCCATGTAGGCTTCAGTACATACGGGGGAAAGGAGCTGGGATACCATCACACCCACAGGTGATCAGCCTTAGCTGCTTTAGGTATCCACCGTACCATCAACAGACAATGGCCCTGCTTACATTTCACAGAACACAAGACAATTGCTACAGCTCTGGGGTATGTTACACCACACTGGTATTCCCTACTCAGCAATGGGACAGGCCATTATGGAATGTGCATGTGACACTTTAAAATGTATACTTGATAAACAGAAAGCGGGAATGTGTGGTGAGACCCCACAGAGTAGAGTGGCTAAAGCTACATATACTTGGAATCACTTACAGTATCAGAAAATTCTCAGAATCCAGTAATTTTTAATCACTTTTTATTATTGCAATCATCTAGTGATGCCCAATTGCAAACCCAAACTAAGACAGATTGTATCTCCTGTTAGCTGGTTTTCTAATGGTTCTAAAGTAAGTTGTGAAATTGTAAATTCTAAGTAATAAGCCTGCAGCATGCTATTTTGAGAATTTGTATCACTAGTAATCCAGTTTGACAGCTCCTAGATATGAATGTTACATCATCAATGATAGATGTGACACATCACTGGCAGAGAGGGGCTAGGCTTGTTGAGTAGGGTGGAAAGCCTCATTCAACCTAGGCTTTTTGTTTGTATCATCCTGATTGTTCAGTACACTGTGCTACGTTTGTCATCCTGTCTGCAGGGGCCCTGCAGAGGATGACAGAGTTTGTATTT